ACTGCTTCTTCCACCCCAACTCCAGCGGCGACCTCGATCCCTCCACCGTCCAGGACCGCTGGTCCGTCCGCGTCCACCGCCAGCACATCGCCCGTCTGCAGTGCAACCCCGCCGACATCGACGCCATCCGCCGCGCCCTCCTCTCCGCCGACAACGACCCCTGCAACCCCGCCCGCCCCCGCGAGGACGACTGCCACCCCAGCTCGCTCCCGCCGCAGGTCTCGCCGCGCCGCCGCGCCGCCACCCTCGCGCACGCCCGCGGCGCCCGCTATCGCCCGCACACGGGCTCCGGTCTCGCCGAGACCTCGGCCGCCGCGGAGCCGAGGAATCGGCGCAAGAGTAGCGTCGGCGTTGGCGCGCTGCATGCATCGTCCGCGTCGCGCGTGGAAAATAGCTACCAGCATGGGTCGGCGCGGGACCCTCGCAATAAGAGCGAGCAGGGACTGAGACGGAAGAGTCTGGTCAGTGCGGCGTTGGCGTCGATGGTGGAGAATGCATAGTCTGCGGAGGACTCTGTAAATTGGGGCGGTCGTTTGGTTGTTAGATACCCGGTTGTCGTATCTTTGGTTACTTTTTTCTCTTCTCGGTACATATTACTAGCATGTATATACTGCAATGCACCGCGTGCAAATTCTATTACGCCGTCAAGGCTATACTATACATCCAGCATTGCAATAATCACTCCGCCCGTCTCCAGAGACAGGCAGACAGCAGACAGCAGCTACGACGACCGTCTCCGCCTTAGCCGCGCACACAACCGCCGGAACGCGCCCCCATGCCCGTTCTGCCCCTTCCGCCGATCTGCAACCGCCCGCCGCGACAGTTTCCGATGGATCTGGACGACGTCCGGCGACGTTAGCGTGTTCATCGTGGAGCCCGACACCCCAGCGAGGAGCGCGGGGCCCAGCACCCCGCTTTGATTGTCATACCCAAGACCGTCGTACTCATACCCGTACCCATACGCACGGTACGGCGGGGGCTGGTCCCACGTATTCGCCTGGTCATAACCATGGCCATGTGCATGTGCATGTCCATGTTCATGCTGCTCGCTGACCGGCGACCCCGGCTCCCCGATTTCGCTCCCCAGCGAGCTCACGGGCGACTGTGAACGCGGCGCCAGCGGGGCGGGCATGAGCCCCGCACCATCATCGTCATCGCGCTCTTCGAGACGCTCGGAGATAGACGGCATGGGGTGGTGCGGCGAGTCGCCGACGAGGTCGTGGTAGGCGTGCTCTGGGGGGTGCGGCGTCTCGTCTTCCTCGGCGATGGACTGCGTGCGGAGCGAGGCGTCGGAGTCCACGGCGTCGGGGGGGTTCTGCACGTCGTCGATGTAGGAGACGATGCGGGCGAAGCGGAGAGAGGCGCGCGGGTTGAGGATCTCGAAGGCGGTGCCGTGGTGAACGATTGTGGGGTTTGTGCTGGGGGGTTCATCATCTTCTTCCTCTGCTGGGAGGGGGTGGTCGTCGTCTGGGACTGTGGGGTGTTGATCTGGGAGTGCATGGGCGGTGTCTTGTGAGAGTGCGGTGTCGGGGTGTTTCTCCAGACGCTCGCGGAAGGTATCCTGCGCTTGTTAGTGGCGTCCATGAGATGGGGGATGGGTGCACGTACTAGGATCCTATGTGCGTCGTGTTTCGACGGCGACGGATGGACGTAGTAGATCTGCTCTGCGGACACGTCGAGCGGACTGGGCGACCCGCGGACTGTCTTTGTCAGTGACCATCACATGGTAGTATGCTACGGTATGGGACGTACGGCAAAAGCCGTCCAGACTCTCGGGGCCCTGTTCACTCCAGGCACTGGGTGAATGCGACGGCGACAGGGGCGGCGGACTCGAAGCCACGGACGAGGCAGCGAAGGGCGGCTGATGGGGCTGCGACATGTGCGCCTGGTACTGGTTCAGGTTGAAGGCGGCGTTCTTGCGCCGCAGCTTCTTCATCTCGTCGCTGTCGGCAGGCGGACTGTCGGACAGGTATCTGCGGTAGTGGTGTAGCGAGAGCACGCCGGGGAAGCCGGGGCCGCACACGGCGTTCAGCGAGGGCGAGGGCGAGCCGTGGTCGAGATCTACGGATGCCGGAGAGAGGGTGGGATGCGGATGAGGGAGGTCATGATGGGCGTCATGGTCTTTGGGATCCATGCTGCTGTTGCTGAGCTGCTGTCTTTGTTGGGCTGTACAACAGCACCGGAGGACAGGGCGTCAAAGAAAAGGAAAGAAGATCAAAAGAGGGGATAACGAAAGGAAGAAACGAATAGTAATGGTGGCAGTAACCGATCCCTTCAGGTGTCACGGCATCGAAGTCGTTTGGCTTCACTCCATGGTCGTGCTGAAGAAAGTCTCAACCATCATGCGATGCACCGGCTAGACCAGAGGCGATCAGCATGCTCCCGCCGGGACCGGAAGGGCGGATGGGATAAAATAGATGGTGGTGAGCAGAGTGAGATGGATCAGGTTGTAGATTGCGTTGCAGGAGTCGACCGAAGAAGGGGACTCCACCGTCGGGTCAACACATACCCAGCGTACGTACTGGTTAGTTCATAGATGAGAAGTGCATTTCCGAATCCATCCATCCATCCACCCGTCCATCCATCAATCAATCAATCATCGACCAAGCCAGGGATGAGAGTAGGTCACATTGGACGGTTGACGTGCAGAAAAGTGAGAGAACTGCAGGGCGCGAATCAGGGTGTGACGGGTCAAGAGCCGACGATTGGATTCATCAACCAGCGCTTTTGTCGCCGTCTTGGGCACCGGCTAACGTGGCCCACCATCTGCGGACTGATGACCCTCCAGCATGAACGGCCATGAACGGCGATCGCCTGTTTCACCAGCACGCCAGACGCTGTGATTTGTCCGTCGTGTTGACGCTGTCGGGCCAATCGACGGCGACGGTGTCGTGGTGTTCTATAATTATGTACTGGTGGCGGTGGACGAGAATCCGTCTGCTTCTTCTTCAGCCGCATCTGGATCCCCGGCGGCTTTGTCCCACTGGCGCCAGCAGAATTGCCCGTGTTTCAGAAGGTTGCACAGTCCAAGCGAGGAGCTTAGGTAGGTACCCTCCTGTCCGTCTTACCCTACTCTGTACTGCCTATCTACTACCTGAGGTAGATGTTGATTGACAGTACCTACTCAACGAATCTATCAGATGGACTCCATGACGATGTGGATGAGATCAATAACAAAGCTAATCATGCAGCAGATCCAATCGCATCCCAACACCAACTCATGGCTGCTGACCGTGTCATCCCAGAAACAACAAAATGAATGAATAAAAAAAAGTGGAGAGTCAACGAGGCATCGAGTCATTCCGTCGTAAAGTAAATCAGTCTGAGGGCCAACTCCATCCGGCCGCGTGCAAGATTGGTATAGAGCAGTGTAACTTCAAGAACAATCGCAAAGGTAAAGAAAAGAAAAGAAAAGAAAAGAGAGTAATCGATCGTCGTGATCGAAATTCGCCGAAAGTCAACTCTAATGGCGTTTATATTTCTGCAAGATACCAGTCAGCAACAGCTCCATACTCCAACAACGAACGCAACTTACATCTTCCATCTTCCGTCGGTTGCTCGGATCTAGCGTGTTGCCTGCCCCCAACAACGTCTGTCCCACGGCCTTGGACACCCCGATCGCAGGGCGAAGCACCACCGTCGGCGCACGCTTCCACACGGCCTTGGCCGCCGCCGTTGCACTGCCGCTCTCAACGATCTCGCCAGGCACGGCAACGATCGCATCGCGCGCCAGTAGAAGATCGCGCTCAAGCCCGCGGAACGCACCCCGAAGCCCCTGGACGACCCCAATCGGCTGATCGGCGTACAGCGAGATCTTCTTGGCTTCTTCCTCATCGGTGGAGTCTTCCTCCGACACGGGAACAGGCGCATTGGGACTCGTCAACATTTCCTCTGCACCCTGTAACACGGTCTGAGTGCCGATGGCCAGTTTAGCGCCGAGCTTGACCAGTTCGTTCGACGTTGTCTTGGCGAATGACCATGCGCCTTTCTGGATGCTGCGCACGATCCGACCGTCCTTGCGATACTCGCGCATGGGGACGACAACGAGATCCTTCACGCCCCCACCCACATTGACCAGGGACCGGATTGGAGCCAGTCCAGCAAGCACGCTCGGAAGTTGGTTCCTCTTGATGTCCGGCATCCAAATATCGTTCAACGTCTGTCCCAGCTTGTCGAACCCCGCGATCCCGTAGATAATCACATGGCGCATCACCATGTCTGCCCCGTCGAGCACGAAGAAGTTCATAAACTCGGTCGTACGGCCGGACTGAAGACCGGCATAGTCCACTCGCTTAGGTTTGAAATCCAGCTTGACCGGGATAGAATTAACTTCGACTCGCTGCAGGAACGGGATATCCTGCGGAGAGGGCGAAGCGGGGGCCGAGTCGTCCCTGAACTCAAAGAAACGGCTCAAGAAGTCGAGAGCATCCTGGTCAACATGTAGCCGAAGAGGGAGGATAGTCGCCTGTAGTAATCAGCAGATATCCAATGTCCATGTTTATCGCAACCATACCTTGAGCACTATCTCGGAAGCAGCCAACTCGGGCACTGGGCGCACCGTCAACACCTCGAGATGCACCATGCTCGTGCCGCTTTCCTTCTCCCCAGCTTCGTGCATATACGTAGCGAACTTCTTCCATGTCGACGTGGGCACATGATCAAAGATCTCCAAGTCCTTTATCCGCACGTCCAAGGAACTCTGTGTTTCTCCAGAGTCCGGTGGAAACACAACCAGGTCTGCGCAAATCCCTTTCAATTCAAACGTCATTTTATGATACTTGCTCCGGGATAGACGCAGCTTCTTCTTGAACGGGGGAGAGTGGTTCTGTCGCGCAGTGGCACCAGTGACGGTTGTCGTGGTGGCATAGCTACCCGTCTCGCTCGCTAGATCATCAATACCCCGGTTGATATCCTGACGCAGTTCCCTCGGATCTTTGTTTGCCGGAATGCCAATATAGATCGAGTTGAAAAGACAGTCGCCAATCACAGACTCCTCGTCGTCATCGAAGCCTGGGGACGCCCGATTGCCAACCCTGGCGCGTTTTTCCGTAGCCCGCTTCTCAACGTCTTTTACAGCCTTAGAGATTGTGTCCCGGGTTCGCTGCCAGTCGTAACCATCAAACAGATTCCATATCACGTGGGCGTCGCGCACCCGGATCCTCAGAGGGCTCTTCTGGAGCTTCGAGTCATCGGAAAGACCATAGGTATTCTGCGTGGAATCCCACCTGTGCGCCGTACCACCCACAGCCGACTGTTTGGCAAAGTGGTCGTCGCGGAAATCAAGCTCTGAAACACTTGACGACATGTAATATTGTGAATGGAAGCTGTCCAGAAGCTCGTTTGACCCTGAACCTGCCAAGTTCTCATGCAAGGAGGCGTTTTCAGACCCCGGCTTGACCGGATAGAAATCGCTCACGTACTCGAGCTCGTCCTCGATCTGGTTCCCTTTTGTGTTTGCCGGTTGGGCCAAATCGGAAGACCCTTCGGCAGCATGCTCAGGCGAAGCTGCATCCGTTGCAAACGCATCACCCGAAAATGACGCTAGCATGTCCTGAATTGGAAGAACCTCAGTGCGGTACTTCACGGCAACACTGGGCGGAGTAGGCGGCTGAAGCCCGTTCACAATGCTGATTAGAGTTTGCGTAGAATCGGCACAAGTTTCGAGGATTAAGAGGTCATCTCTGAATTCCACATCTAGTGACTTGGTACCATCTTCGCTTAGCTGCATGATTCGAATGGTAGCCGTTGCTGATGAGATCGAGGAGATGGGAACGAAGCCCATCTCAATAAATGAATGGACTTGATCACTCTGCGGGGTTGTCCATCTTCCCTGACGCGGGTTATCCGTGATTCCAATATTCTGGACGTCATCGATCACCATCACCGACGCTTTGCGAAGATCTAGCGTGGCTTCGGAGGATGCAGGGTCGTGAATAGCCCCGGAAAACTTGGCATTAGTAAGGACAAGGAGTCCTTTGGCAGCCGTTCCTCGAGGGTTCAAGCCGATGACACTGTCACGCAGTACCACAGCCAGTTTTATAGGCTTGACTGGCCCCCTCGGGCTTTCATGTCCACCAGAGACTGGGGAAATATGTGGTGGAGGTAGATCGGCAAGATTTACCAGAGAGCTGGTCATATTTTCAGCAACCTTTCCAGCTGTCATGTCATCACTCAGACCGAGAAATGCAACCATTGATGGTACCGTGTATTCTGCACGAAGATTGTAAACCTTGACCTTGATTGTCGGTTCCATCTCATCGGCAATAAAACGAGCCATCAGCATCGGATGTTGGGCCTGAGCCATGTGCAATGGCAGTGCTTCCCCAACCAGTTCCTCGATCTCATTCCGGACGACTGTCATGGAGCCCAATCGAGCAGCCACCAGTGAGGGAATACTAATGTAGGCTGTTTCCGCCTCTTTCAGGCGAACCGTGATGTCTCCAACCTGTCCACCGACATGCATTCTAGCCTCAAAATCGCGAACGAGAGCCAGTGACAAGATACCTGGTCTATCATCTTCAGGTAAGTACTTGGTGACATTGGAAAGTTTCCCAAGTTCGTCACCGAGCTGTGAGAGGTGCTCTAGATCTTGGATGCGTGAAATGGCCACACGTGCTCCGTCGACGGTGGCTCGCAGAATGGACCCCTGTCTTCGCTGGCGGAGGAGCGTGTCCAGCATGATATCATCATCCTCATCGTACTTGTCTTTTGATGGTGTTATCAACGACAGTAGCCTGTCAAGATCATCATCATCTGGACTGAACAGAAACTCCACTCTGATGTTGGTGAAGTTGACCTTTGCGGGTGCATCCCTCGTGCCCTCCAGAGACAAGGGCCCACTCAGTTTGGCCTTGTCAATCTGTACCGCGATGCCCTTCTGTCTGCTGACGACTTTAACGGCCGTTGTCCTTAGCTTGAGGTAATGTGTCTCTCCAACAACATCAAGGGCCATCCCGCCAATACGCGAGTCGACCTTCCACGGGATAGACGGCTGTCGAGACTCCTTTACTGGTGGGGGCGAAGGTTCAAAATGAACACCGCGTGACCGCTTGGGGGGCTCCTTCTGCGCCTTTACACCAGATACGGATGGGATCGAATTTCCAAGCTCTAGAATGGTGCTCAGGCCACCAATCCACCCCAATACGTCCTCCAAACGCTGGACATTGATATTCACTTGCAAGGGGAGTGTTGCAATGTTGACTCTCGCAGAATCGGCTGATTTTGTCAAGGAGAGGGAAACATCTCCGTGCACAGGAGACAAGACATCTCGTACCGACTCTCGCATTTTCAGGTCCTCGCTGAACGAGATGAGATCTTCAGACGCAAAACCCAATGTGAACTTTGCTAGCTCTAAGCGGAGCTTTGTCGCGTTGCCAGTCTCTGAGTAATGGGCTTGCAAGCCAGCCACCGTAGTTTGTAAAAGAACATCTTCATGCATTAATCCGAAATATGTTGGAGAATGTATTCGAGAATCTTCGGGGGGGTAGGCATGCCCCGGGATATGTTCGACAAATTTGATTGAAAACTTGCCAAAGGAGAGACTGATTGCTTGGTCACTGTGCGAATCTTGCTGTGAGCGACTCTTTTTGGGTGTTTCCGAATCGTTATGGGCAAAGGCATCCACAACTCTCTGGCCGACTTTAGCAAGGAGCCACCCAGTGGAGATGTCAAAATGGATCTCAGCTGAATGAAGTTCGATGGCAGTCTCATCTTGTGAGCGTTTAGGGTAGGACCGTCGCTCTGAGTGTCCAGAAACGTTTGGATCCACGCCTCCGTGAGAGAAAGACATTTCAGACACGGCTCCGGAAGGCTCATCGGTCCCATCCCGCGAAGGTACCCAAATAGACATTTTATCAATTGTCAAAAACCTCTTTGCAATGTCGTTGAGCTTGTTCAAGCCCTGGGTCGACTCAAAAGAGCCTTTATCAGTGGCTTCGGAATGTGCCGTGCGAGATCCATCCAAAGGATATTCTTGGGGGATATGTGATCCTGCTTGTGCATGAAGCCGTGGTGTCGCTGCCGTTGTTTCGTCTTTCTCGTCACGAGTCCGATTTGTGTCGCCGGAGCATTGTGATCGATTATGGACGTCGAAATACCGCGTCGCGGTAGATCCCGGGGAATCCCATGCCCCAGGGATGTTAGGTACAAAGCTTCTGGATGTCGATCCATGGCTAATGGCGCTCATGTACATGCTTTGTGCTTCTTCATGAGAGTATATCTTGGATTCAGAAAGGTCACCGTCTCTGAAGGAATTAGAGGTGGAGCTTGAACTACCTTCTTCAGAAGGAGGTGCGGGTTGAGATCCAGACATATGTGCTCGTACTTCATGCTGAGGTTCTTCGGCATGCTGGTTCTCGCTCAATGAATCTTCTGGCAGGGAATGTTCACTGGAAGCATCCCGCCCAAGGGAAGCGCTGCCAAATGACCCCGTCCTATCTTCCAAGACCTGCCCATGAATTGTGGGAGAAGAAACTTCCTGTAGGGTGTGATGGGCCATTGTGGGCTCGAAGTTAAAGGTACTGGAATCATGGAGTCGGGGAGTGTCTTCTTCTCGGGCGGAGGGTGCATCATCTCTGGGGAGATTGACTGAGCGCTCGAGATCCTCGTCATGCAAGTGAGAGTCGATAACAGAATCCAAGTAATCCGGATTATCTAGCAGTTTATCGTCGTCCGAGAAGTTCTGCGAGTCTCCAAGATGTCCATAGCTCCTGGTTTCTTCCGTGTCGGCGTCCGAGAACCGCCCATCGTAGGTGTAGACCGACCCTGCCATTTCCAACTCATGAGGAGCTTCTGGAACAGGTTCATCGTCGCTCTGTGGGGGAGCGAAAATAGTGGACTGTGTCATGCCTAGGCCGGGATTTGAATCTGACGGATTGAGCTCTGGTGAAGGCGACATAACTTCGCTGGGAGGTTGACTTGGCCTCGACTGGACAGGGGTGGAAGGAGAGAGTGGAGGAGCGGTAAATCGAGAGTAGTTGGAGAAGACGATCGGGTCAGATATTAGAGCAAGGTTGACATCAGAGACCGAGATCTGCCGTTTGCCCCAACGTAATATGCCTTCTTCGGAATCATGAGATTTCGAAACTGCACCCACGTTGATCTGGCGAACGCTTATAAGCCCCGTCACGAGATCCGGCTTTTCCTCAGGCTGCCGCTTCGACGGGCCATCTTGCTTTGTCTCGACATCCACCCGTATGGAAACGTCCTCGACCTCAACTTGTAGTCGTTCCACGACACCTTTCAAGAAGCCTGCCACAAAACTGGGTAGCGAGACGGCCTCTTCGCCCAGACCAAACTCCTCTTCATCGTCGCTGGATGATGTCGAAGTATGCTGTAGCACCTGGGACTGGGATGATATGGCGGCCTGCAGCTCCTCTTTCTCTTCTTTTGGTTCTGCCTGTAGGAACGACTCGGCGAGGTCAGTCGGGTTTGGCAAGACATGATCATCCCCGGTATCATCTGTGGGGCTTCGATGTGTATCCTGGTCCGCAGATACGTCGTTGAGGGGCAACCGGAGGTGGACGTCGATACCGCTCGTTTGAAAGATGATCCCACTGCTGTAGATATCCGCAGGGACTGTCAACCTCAACAGCCGGATCCGAGCACTGAGTAGTTCACTGGAGGGAGGCAGACGGAGAAGCGTCGATAATTTCTAGATTCAGAGCAAGACAAGATTAGCATTGCGCGATGAGCAGGGGAGCAGGCCAGTGTTATAATGAACATACCTCCAGCCTCAGGCCAATATCGCGCAGTTCAACGGTGCTTCGTTGGCCCCAGCGAATTCCCAGACTGTCCAGATCTAGTGCTTCGGTGTCGACAAGCTCCAGCCGGGACAGAGCATATCGAAGCAGTCGCTTCTGGAAGAAGGAGGGTAGGAAGTACGCCATGGCGGGGGAAGAGGAGCCCGACCGAGGCTCATTTAAGGATCGCAGGTGTCATCGGGATAGGGGCATAATAAGAAAATAAGCAACAGGGGGGAGAGAGAAGGGAAGCGATGCGTTGGTAAGGTCAGGTCCAGCTAGGTGGTTTGCTGGACGACGCGGAGGAGCGTTGTTGGAGGGTGTTAGGCGGGAGGCGGATGACGTTTCGGCCGCTAGTCGCTGATAGGGCCTAGACTGCCGGATAGTGAGCACACTGGGATTCATCAGGCGGGGCGTCCACCCCATGACAACTCACTCTGACGTTGTTCAGTTTCCTGGAACAAAGTGAGAGACAGGCGGAAAGCTCTTGACTGTGACACGCGGATGATGTCGTTGCACCTTCAAGTCTACGCGTTATGGACTGGACTGAGCGGAGCGTTGGATAAGGCACCGACCCAGGCACAGTATGGATGCCGGTTTTCTCAACGGGCTACGGAGATTCTGAAAAAATTCAAGAAGGACATGTGCAGGACTTGCATCTCTGATAATGTTCCAACTTGATTCTCTTTGCTTATTAGCTCGACGATGTACCTGGTACCTTGAGATTTCATACATGACCAGTCTGTACAGTAGGTCACAATGACTAATCAATGGAGTGTCACAAAATTATGCAGAGTCCGGAGATAAGCTTTTCGCTCCACTTTCCCTTGCCCGACAGAACTTCCTCTTTTGATTAAGACATTAGGATCTGGGATATTGTTACACAGAATGGACCTTCACAATAGAATAAGACATTCTGATGTGGAACATGATTCTCCTCCTCAAAGTGATCCTATCCCCAATATTGGGGCGGAAGGCCTCATTATAGAGTAGACGTTCCCAACAGCAAGTACTGCTCAATCCTCAATATCCACCTCGGCAAATTCCAACGCAACCCATTCGCAGAACCTTTCGAACTCGGAATACCATTCCTTCAGTCGAAGGGCTTTCGTTCCTTCGCCAAGGATGCCTTCTCGAAGTTCCGATACCCATTCCTTAGTGGGTTGGTCGGTGAAACAGCTCCACCGGACTGAATTCTCGGCCATCATAGCAAGATCTGTGAGCCCCATATGCTCGCTCTCGAATGTTTTCCAGAATGTAGAGGTCATGGTGTTCATGCTTTCCGTGGAGGTTGATGGAACATCATTGCAAAGTGCGACAGAGGCGCCACGGGACAGTAGTGCGGAAAGAGGGACAGACTGAGCACCGGCTTCCGGGACAGGACAACATTCAAGCAAGATCTTCTTCTCCTTCGTCAGGTCAATGAGAAGTGGATGTCTGTAGAGTGACAACCCGTGGCCGATGCGTCGGGTCCCTAGCAAGATAGCATCAAACGCATCTGACTCGGACAGCGCACCTGAAAGTTGTTCGCCCGCATGAAAAAAGAAGGGGATATCAACTCCCTCTTCCATGCACTGTCTGCGAAACCAAAACAATATTGGAACCAAATCTGTCAATGACCGATTGCTGTCTCGTCCCACAACGTCAAAACCACAGACAACGTCGGGGAATTCCGTCTTTGCTAGGATGCACTGCACCATATCGTCAAAGACGCATCTGTTCGATGAAATACGAGTGGCGGTCCAGATGACTCGAGCTCCATGGAAAGTCTGACCAGCGTCGGTCGTTTTGAAGCTATTGACTTCCTCCTGGAAGACACGACACCAGTCCATGAAGGAGTCTTCGTCGGGTTCGTTGTTTCCTTCCCGTCGGAAGGGAATTTCAAACGAATTTCGGATTTCCACATATTTAATGCCGTCTGCAGCGAGTTGGCTGAACACACGATGTAGACATGCGCGCAGGATGGGCTCGTAGGTTAGAAGCGAATCAATAATCGACGCAGCGCTGTGGGTACTGTCATAACGTGTGGACTCGGGGTGTAGACCGAAACGAGTCCTAAGCCATTCTCGAAATGCGGGTTCTCCACCCTTGGGGAAGGTTGATGCAGCCTTCTGCAGCGGGGTGAGGGTCGTGGGACGGTAGGATGACTCCCACAAAGTTGGCTCCTCTGTTTCTTCGGATTGAGAAGAATGCCGAAAGTAGAACGGAGCGCTTTCGTAGTCGCTGTCCACTACGAAAGGACTTGGAGCCGCGATGCAGATCCCCGGCGTGGTAAAAGCCAAGTCAACCAAGAAGCCGACATCGACTAGGGTGTTGAGATGTGCGTGGAGAAGAGACCCCTTGGGCATGCGATGCAAGATGCGCCAGAGATCGGAGTTCTCCACCGGGCCCGACGGGTGTTGGGTCAGATCCCGGTCGCGGATCTTGGAAACGATCTTACATGCGGTGGCAGCGATCGGCGACAGGGCTTTGCGGAGAGTGAAATCTGGGGTTGTCAGACAGATACGCAGGGGGGTTTAGAGACGGAATAGGTTTCTCGAATGGACCGGGGTGAAGGGGTCCCACCATGCCGTTGCTTTTGCTCCTCGACGATTAGCGAGGTGCGGCCCCGCAGGTACTGTTGGATGAAGGGATCGTCTTGCTGGGGGATTCCCTCTTCCAGCTCCCATTGTGTATTGGATGCGCCGCCCATGATGTGGTTGAAGGAAGGGTCTGTTGAGTTGAGTTGCCGACGTGGAATTGTACCTAGGTAGAGTGGTGGTGGTGAAGTATGTACCTATCCAGGAACTCTCTTAGGTAACCTCTAGGGTCCACTGTGTTGTTTGCGGCTAGTGACATCATTCCACCCATCAATACTCTGCACCTACACGCCCTCTCTCTCGGTACAGATGCAGATTCTCTATACAATTCTAGGTCGTTGAAGTTGAAGCCGAGTATCTGATCATTTCTTTCAATTGAAGGCCCAACAGAGTCAACGATTGTCCAGTGCGATAAATCCCTCGCCACCTCCGATGTAACCCTCCAGCACTAAAGACGGAGATGGACCGGAGGTTTGCATTAACTCGCGGGTCCCGAAAGCCATTGGTCGGGAAGGATTCCTATCTGGATCCTGTGGACACGCCAAGGCCACAGCCAATGAATGATCGTGCAACAGAAATGTCCTGATTGAGTGACCAGATACACAGTTTGCATGGGGCCGGACAAACCACCCACAAGAGGATCTACTCCGGTGGTTAGGGTTAAGGTAGACGGACAACTTCCTATCTAACTAACCCTAAGAGAGAAGCGCAGCACACGATCAGTGGCCAACATCCCTGCTGATCTGGCGCTGTTAGTGCTGCAACAGTCTTATCGGCGAGGCCGAGGGAGGAGAATACTTTTCCGCTCTGCCCGGTTGTGAGCATTCTGGGGACACCCTTGCAGGTGTCACTTGACCATTATCATCGCCATCATATCATCATATCATCTCCGTGTTATCACCCTTGATTGGGGCCTTCTTGCCTTCTTTGAATTCCAGAACTCCTAGTAGACCACAATGGGACCAGTCCACTATCTCGGTAGTCCCAGCCATTATTAGCTTCAGTCCCCTCACCCAACGGCTGATAAGTTGGCTGATTTCTCCTCTTTCTGTTCCACCTCCACCTTAAAAAGCTCTTTCGCCGAATCTTTCCGTCCCTCCTCTCAATTTTCTGGGAAAATCGAGGAGACCATGGAGAAAACACCGGAGGTTCCTTCGCAGGTGACTTCCGCTGATCCCTCGGGACAGCCTGAGGAGGATATCAAATATTCATCGGAGAAAAACATTGTCCCCGAATCCACCTCGCTCGACAGCAATGGCCATCGCAGAAGCGACAATGATCTCGAAGAGGCCGGCGAGACCGTCTCCCAGACTTCTCGCTACCGGCAGTACTACCGGGCGTATCGTCCATACTTCAAACATGTTTTCTACGCCGTTGTCTGGCTCCTCTTCACCGGGTGAGTAGTCTTATCGCACATTCCCCAGCCAAATAATCACCACTCATCCCGGGTGCATGTGTAGATGGTGGATTGCCGGCCTCATCCTCCACCGACATGATCTCGGCTGGCTGATTCCCTTCCTCCTCTACCTCGCCATCACGCTGCGGCTTATCTTCTTCTACGTGCCCGTCTCCATCGTCACTCGCCCAGTCTACTGGCTCTGGAACCAGACAGCCGGGCGGTTTGTGGCCCTCATCCCCGAGCGTCTTCGCATTCCCGGCGCCGCCCTCCTTACCATCGGTGTTATCCTGGTCGGTTCGTTCGTCTCCGATGAATCGGCCGACAACACGCGCGCCAACCGGGCCGTCAGCCTCTTTGGGCTCGTCGTCTTCCTCTTCGCGCTCTGGTTGTCGTCGCGCAATCACCGCCTCATTGTCTGGCACACCGTCATCGTCGGAATGCTGGTGCAGTTCATCGTCGCGCTCTTCGTGCTCCGCACCAAGGCCGGCTACGACATCTTCAACTTCATCTCCATGCTCGCGCGCCGCCTCCTCGGCTTCGCCATGGAGGGCGTCGACTTCCTCATCGCCGACCACTCCTCCGACTACAGCTCCTGGTTCATCGTCAGCGTGATCCCTGCCATCATGTTCTTCGTGTCCATCGTCCAGTTGCTCTACTACATTGGCGTGCTCCAGTGGGCCATCGGCAAGTTCGCCGTTTTCTTCTTCTGGAGCATGCGCATCTCCGGCGCCGAGGCCGTCGCCGCCGCCGCATCCCCCTTCATCGGCCAGGGCGAGTCCGCCATGCTCATCAAGCCCTTCGTCGCCCACCTCACCCGAGCCGAGATCCACCAGGTCATGTGTTCCGGCTACGCCACCATCGCCGGCTCCGTCCTCGTCGCCTACATCGGCATGGGCGTCAACCCGCAGGCTCTCGTCTCCTCCTGCGTCATGAGCATCCCCGCCTCTCTCGCGGCTTCTAAGCTGCGCTGGCCCGAGGAGGAGGAAACTCTCACCTCCGGCCGCGTCGTCGTGCCCCATGACGACGAGGAAACCAAGCCCGCGAACGCCCTGCACGCCTTCACCAACGGCGCCTGGACCGGCGTCAAGATTGCCGGCATGATCGCCACCGTCCTCCTCTGTATCATCTCCCTCGTCGGCCTCATCAACGGCCTCCTCACCTGGTGGGGCCGCTACCTCAACATCAACGACCCCCCACTTACCATTGAGCTCATCGTGGGTTACATCTGCTACCCCATTGCCTTTTTGCTGGGCGTGAGCCGCGAGAACGACGACATCCTCAAGGTCGGCGAGCTCATCGGCACCAAACTCGTCATGGTGTGTTCCGCTCTCCTCCAAAAATTGCCCGAATAGATGCTAATGACGCAGAACGAATTCGTCGCGTACGACGCCCTCCAAAACAAAGACCGTTATAAGGACCTCTCGAACCGCTCGCGCCTGATTGCCACCTACGCCCTGTGCGGCTTCGCCAACATCGGCTCGCTGGGCAACCAGATCGGTGTGCTGGCGCAACTGGCGCCGAGCCGGGCCGGCGATGTGTCCCGCGTGGCGGTCAGCGCGATGCTGACGGGAGCGATCAGCACGCTGAGCAGTGCAGCCATTGCTGGATTATTGATTAAGGACGAGGCGAGTTACCTTACGACGTCGTAATGTTCATGTGTGCACCACCATGTGCCTTCGATTTGCTCTGAAAGCGGAATCAAGATACCAAATACCAAAGGAAACAATTAGGATGTATCAAACAAGAATAATAAGGCAGAAACACCAGAAGCAATATGTATTTCAAAGAACGCGACGAGCGTCTGCGCCGCAGGCCACGCCCCAACGCACCAACTCCAGAACCGTATCCATGCATGCCCCCGAGCGACAAAAGAAAGAAACGCGATGACCGCGGTCCGAACATGCAATGCAGCCAACAGAAAGAACGGGTCTCGTCGGTTCGCTCTGTCCAAACGCCATGGCGATGCGCGCCATCCCAGCCCTGTACATAGCTTTACTCAATGTCCTCGATGTCGCGGTGTCTCGCGAGCACGTGCCGCTTGTACTCCTCCTGGTCGGTGTCCCAGAGCTCGGCGGCCTGCGCGTTCAGGGGGCTCGCACTGTGCATATATCAGTACGCGACTTCTGCAAGCAGAAAAAGTGGGGAGGCGGTCACATACTTGTTGGGCTCACCGAGCAAGCTCTGCAGACTGAGCAGCACGCTCTGCACATTATACACAGCACTCCACTTGTCCTTGAGGATGTCGAGGCAGATGCGGCCTGAGAAGTCGACGTTGGGGTGGTAGATGGGAGTTTTGAAGAGCACGGTCGGCGGCGAGTAAGGGTAGTTATTGGGGAAGGCGAACGAGAGCTTGAAGGAGAGGCCCTCGTAGGGGGTCTCGGTCGGGCCGGTGATGGTCGCCGTCCAGGAGAGCAGGTTGCCGTCCGCGTCAGGGAAGGCGGAGATGCCGGGCGAGGGCGACAGCATTAGCTGCATCAATTCGGCTTGGAGGCTAATCGGTCGAAGTTTGGTCAGTAAGGTCCCAGCATACACGCCGCACGACAACTCTCATCCAGCGCCTGGGGATCGCACGAACCGTTTCGTCACGCTCTGGCTGTCGGTGCGCTGTCCGGCGGAGTTGAGCTTGGACGCCTCCAGCGCGTCGGGAGTGGAGTTCTGGGTGTCCTCCATCGTGTAGTCCATGGTGTCGGTGTGTTGAGGATACGGCGTAAAAAGCGAGGGAGAGAGAGAGAGAGAGGCTACTGCCGAACTGAGAAGCAGAGAATAAAGGGTGTAAGTGTAGAAGGAATGTACAGTATGGCCTCCGGGATGGTAAGGTTGCTGTCTGGAATGACGCCGGAACCGAATGCAGGATGATCGTTGGTTGGAAGGCTCGGGTCGACCCACCGGCGGATCGGAATCAGAAAGACAGAGACGAAGAGATACTGAAGAAGAATTCTCGGTCGATGAAGACAGCTAAAGGACGGATGTGCGATGAGAGACACGCAGGAAGGGCTGGCATTGAGGAGAAAGAAGGACCAGAAAGAAAGAGAGCGCGGCGATTAGTGTTGTTTACGACTCCACCGGCGTCCCCGGCAACACCAGCAGTCCCCGCCTGATCGTACTGGCTGACTTGTCACTTGATAAGTATTATTACTATTATTATTGGGAGTAAAACTACTCCGAGTAGAGCTAGCAAAATACTGCATTAATGTAGACAAGACTATTGATGACATTATTCTATGGAAAGTATTAACGATGCATGTCATCTTATTGTCGTACATTAGTGTTGTAGGTACATAAGGTGGATAGTACTTAGATTCTGAGAAAGCCTATCAACACCAAAAAGGCATATAATTAGAGAAAAATCACACGATACATTCATTCAATCCAATTCAGTATTAGTTAATAGCAATGTCAGATAATACCATTAAATAAAAGCAGAGCGAGTGTTCAGCCATTGTTCTCACGTAATCCACAACACATTTCCCAAACAGGATAAAGTGGTTTTCGCGTGCCGCGTTCCTCGTATCTCACCCTTGCCTCTTCATCGGCATCATGGATCGTCTTTCCCTGTCGTGACTCTACCTCAGTCTGTCCTCTGTATATAACCCTTCGCCAGTCTCCGTTGGATCCGCAGGGTCCGCTCGCCATGCACCACTCTCAGTTGGCCCCATTGCCCAACGACTTGCCTTTCCGCATCGTCTCCAAAACCATCGGCCAAGGAGCCTACGCTTGGTAAGTCTGATACTCCCTTTCTTGAGATCGCAACAACCGGAGTGAAATCCCACTGACCATCGCGTACGATACAGCATCAAGAAAGCCTGTCCCACCAGCTCCGATAACCCGGTCTTCGCCGTCAAGTTCATTCATAAGGAATACGCCGCGCGACATGGCAAGATCAGCGCTCGACAATTGCAGATGGAGGCCACCGTCCACAAACACATCGGCGACCACAACAACATCATATCATTCTTCCAGACCGGCGAGGACGGTGTGTGGCGGTGGATCGCCATGGAGCTGGCCGAGGGCGGGGATCTCTTTGACAAGATCGAGGCCGATGAGGGTGTGGGGGAGGATATCGCGCACGTGTACTTCTCCCAACTGGTCAGTGCAGTCGGATACATGCACTCGAAGGGAGTGGGCCATCGCGACATCAAGCCTGAGAACATGCTGTTGACGGCCGACGGGAATCTAAAAATTGCCGACTTTGGCTTGGCTACCTTGTTCGAATACAAGGGCGTTACCAAACTATCCACCACGTTCTGCGGCAGTCCCCCGTATATCGCCCCCGAGGTCATTTCGTGCAGTAGCAAGAACCAAGTCAAAGGATCGGGTTATCGACCAGATCTGGTGGACATCTGGTCCTGTGGGATTGTTCTCTTCGTCCTTCTGGCCGGAAACACGCCGTGGGACAGTCCCACAGAAAACAGCTACGAATTCCACGAGTATGTGGCGACCAATGCCCGGACGACTGATGAACTATGGCAGAAGCTGCCCGTGGCGACCTTATCGCTCCTACGTGGCATGCTGAACATTGATCCAAACAACCGCTTCTCGTTAGAGGACGTCCGCAGACACCCGTGGTACACGCGACAGAACAGATTCCTGTCGCCGGATGGAAAGCTGAGAGATTCTATCAACTTGGCCACCACCATGTTCGAATCCCTGCACATCGACTTCTCCCAAGATCCTCTCTCCCGACGGATCAAGGGCGGCAGCTTTGACGCGGGCAACATGGAGGTGGACAATGGCGACGATGACGGTGTCGAGCATCGCATCTCATCGACGCAGCCTGAGATGCCGCGAGGGGATATGTTGGTCGACTGGGACACACCGCATCTGTCTGATGTTTTCTCATCTACCCAACCTTTCACGAAGCCGTTCTCAGCAGACGATTCCCTCGTTGCCGATGCTCTGGAGGACGAACCATCCATGTCCCAATTCTCTCCTCATCCCTCTGTGCCGCTCAGTCGGACACAGAAAGCACAACGTTTCCGCGATATCGTTCCTTCCCGACCCATGACACGGTTTTTCTCGACATGGGAGCTGAAGCTTCTCGTTCCGCTGATCTGCGAAGCGCTTCACCGTCTTGGTGTGCCTGTTCCATCCATCCCCGCCGTCTCTGTAGGTGATACCTCTGCCATGGTTCGCATCGTGACGCGGGACGGGCGGATGTGCACGCTGCAAGGCAAAGTACTCATCGAATGCGTCTCCGAGGGGCTGTTTGAGATTGAATTCGTGAAAGTCAAGGGTGATCCGCTCGAATGGCGACGCTTCTTTAAAAAGGTCGCCGTTCTATGTAAGGACGCCGTTTACAAGCCTGACGTGTGATTCCGCATGCCTTTGATTTTTGTGTGCTTTACTTGCAATGTCCATTTATGTATGATTAATGTGATTTACGACGGTTGGGTTAGGAATTGGTTGGAGGAAAATGTAAATGTCCCATGTGAGCTTTCATTGCGTTCAGTATATGATAGACATCAACACATACATTCTCATATCACTCCGAACACCCTAAGAGCCTCCTGCAGCCTTCTTCAACCGCCTCATAATCTCATCCTCAGAAACCGGCAACGGCAGCACTTTCAACGCCGCATCCAACAATCCCCCCTCCACCTTATTAATCTCAAAATACCGACTATCCCAGATATAAACCAACTCCCCATGCCGCTCCGTCCCACAAAACAAAGACAAAACCCCCCTCGCAACAGCCTCCGGTTCCTGAACCCTCGCCCCAAGCCCCTCAACCACCTCTCTGGGCACCAGCCCCGTCGCCGTCCACGACGGCGCAACCGCATTCAGCCGCACACCGCACGATGCCACCGCCAGATCATCCGTCAACCCGCGCAGGATACCCCAGCACCCCATGCTTTGCAGTGGTGTAATCCGCCGCGCCGAAGTTCTGCATCGACGACGCCGACGCCGAGAGCACGATGCTCCGCTGCCCTGTGGCGCTGGGCTGCTCCTTGGACAGATAGTACACGCCCAGTCGCACCGTGCTGATCACGCTGAGCAGGTTGATCTCTATGGTGCTTAGCACCGGCGGCGCCAGGAGACCGTCATCGTCGAAGGTTTCTTCGAGGAAGTTACCGCGTGGCCCGATGCCGGCGTTTGCGAAGACGTGGTCGATGCGGCCAAAGCGCGCGTGGCCTTGGATGAAGAGGGCGCGGAGACTGGTCCAGTCGGTTACGTCAGTGTGGAGGAAGAAGAGCTCTCCGGTTGAGGGGGGTGAGTCCTTGGGTGGGTGGAGGTCTCCGGCGATTACTTTGGCGCCGTGCTGCAGGCAGAGCGTTGCGGTTGCTTTGCCGATGCCGGAGCTGCTGCCTGGGGTTGTTAGTATGAGATGGATGTGAGGGATGAGGACGAACCGGTGATCAGGACGACTTGGTCTTTGATATTGGGGAGTGTGTTGGGATTGATTTGGAGTTCCATGTTGATGGTGTTGTAGAGATACTCGGTCTGAGTCGGTATGGCAGAGAGGTTACTGCAGGGGAACGTACTTGCTAGCCCTTGTGGTCACCCTCTAATCTATATTACTTGTATAGTTTGCTGCCGAGGGACTCGGGACCTAGGCTGTGCGATGCGGGGTGATCGTCTCAAGTATGAGGAGTAGCATGTTGGATATCTTGAAACGAGCAGGATGTATGTCTGTCATTGTACTATGCGTGTATACATGACTTTATAAAGCGTCTTAGAAAGAAGACATACGCCACTCTAGTCGACCCTGGCCACCAGATCCCTCATATGGCGGGCCAATTTCCTAACATACAACTCTCTCACGGGATCCTCGGCGTGCGTGTCAACTACCCACTCGCCTATTCCCACTTCTTCAGGTGCTCGTCGAATACCCCGGCCCCCTCCACCAATGATCAGGTTCCCCGGACGATAATTTTTGTCTGCTTTCATCCGACGGATGGCCGAAACGTGGATCCACGCATCTAACGGTATATCACGCACTCTACCGCGATGCAATTTCCACCGGATCAACGCCCACCTGCCATCCTGTTGCAACTCAGCCCGGCGGATAGGGATATACTCCATAAGACGCCAGACCAGAACTGAGGGAACCGAGAAACCCTGGCCGAACTGCAGACGATCGTGCAGCCGGCCGGCCTCGCTGGAGCGCAAAAGGGCGGGGACGAATCTCATCTCACCCTCGTCTGGGTCACAGCCGTCAGTTGGTGCATCGTCCTCGATACACTTGAACTGATGCAATTTCTTCTCGTCGAAGTCGAGCCCAGCGCGCCGCGCCTCCTGGACCATCCAAACGAGCGGCGCATGGCTGAGCTGCCATTGCTCGCCTTCCACCTTTTGGAATCCACCGCCAATATCGGCATGACCCCCCGGGAACCAGACCTCTAACAGATCCACGTGCTCCGAATCATCATCTCTGGAAGACTTCGTGGTGGAAGTCTCGCCAGTAGGGGCTGGATGAGAGACACACTCTCCTGGCAAAACGCTGGCCTCCTCCTTCTGCTTCTCCGTCAGCGTCGTGTGCTCATACGGTTTCTTGCCTTTTCCCCGATTTTTCAGGTTCTCTCCCAGTAGAACGGGCTGGAACTTGACCCTACGTTCGTCAATGCTGACTGCATGTCGGGTTACCTGCGCGGTGGAGGTGATAATATTGTTGATCTCGAAATCCGCGACGCTGTTGACGGTGTCAAACAAGCCCAAGAACTTCACCTGCTGCACCGGACGACACAACGTCTCCCGGCACTGTCGCATAAAGTCGAATGCGCGTCTCTTCTCGGACGTGTTGTTGAAACGGGCTAGCTTCCACCTCGAAAAGGCCTCCCAAATAAACGGGATCATCTCCTCGTTGTCCGGACCGAGCAGACCGGTGTAGTCCAGCATCTCCGCGAGGAACCGCGCCGTATAGGCGCCGCGGGAGAACCCGAAGATGTAGATGTGACTATCAGACCGGCAGTGGCGCATGAGGAACCTGTATCCGCCGAGAACATGCTTGTCGAACGACTTTCCCAGGGCCTGGCTCAGCGTCTTGCTCTTACCGAGCCGACTGCTTTTCTTCAGTGTCGTGGCTGCCAGCGAGCCGGCGGTGATTTCAGTCCCGATTCCCGCTGCACGCGTTAGTCTTGGGCTGTTGTAGTAATCAGGGCTTCAAGTCGTACGTTGATAGTAAACCACTACATCATGTTAGCCGGCTCCAGCATATAAACACGGGAATCTCACGTTGGTGGTCCGACCGCGCTACCATCCGACAGATTCGTAGAACGTTTGTCTCCGTGCCATCTGCACGAAACGTATTCCCTGTCCCATCGAAACAGAGGACTATCTGCGATGGCGTGATTTTTGGAGTATCCTCGGATGCGGCCATTGTTGAAGGATGCAGAAGGTTTGAAAGCTGGCAGAGGGCAACCACTTATTTATTTTCCCACCCATCTCACGCTATCTGCATCTACTAAAGGGGTTCGCGCAGTTCATGCCTATCATTTCGTCTTCGGGACATACGTGCTCCAGTACATGTCGAAATAGGGCAGTGATTGGCTTCATGTTGTTTTTTTTTGCAGCGCCTAGTTAGGGAGTCCGCGTTGTGGGGCAGCTTGGTCAGGTTCACTTTGATGAAGATCGAAGATTGCGAGACGAACACCATGTTCTGTCTCCTGGGATTGCCAAATGCACGGTGACGATCAAGATTCTATCTGGGAGGTAGTTACTCCGTAGCCCTCGGCGGTCTGCGGATAGTATCCCATTTGTTTTTGACTGAATATCTTGAATATCTAGGGGCGATGTTCACTTTCAATCACCCTCTGCCACATCGCATGGTGTATATATATATCGCCTCCACAGGTATTAATAGACGAATATAGGGATTCATGTCTCTTTTGACTGACCTGACTTGAATATCTATTCAATCATATGAAGGAAAGATATATTATTAAGGTATGACAATAATAAAAGCGTAGAACTGCGAGGTATAAATAAACTCAGCTGCGGGCTGTTTGGACCCAGGGTCGGACAGTTTTGTGTATCTCTGTGCACGTTCTTAGTCATATATCCCAGAGCATGGATTGCCACATACACGCAGGTCATCCACGAGGAACTTCATCCCAACTTGGAATTATACCGAAATGTCTCCATAAGACACCCTTAATACGAGAACCACATCCAAGTTCTAGAACGTTCTCTCCATGTCTACCGTCAGCCTGGTTCACCCGGGCATTCTCTCCCAAGCGAACTGGTGCTGATCGCGGGGATGAAAATGGAGTCTGGATCCCGACGATCAATCCTCCTTATCCTCCCTGTCTTTCTTTAAAATTATTCTCAGCCAGACCTCATCCGCCCTTCATGCTGCCTCATCCGCCCGCACCGCTTCACTCATGGACAAACTCCCCGTAGAGATTCTTTCCAAAATCATTGACTGTAGGCGGTCTCGCCCACCCCCTCATTTCCGTCCCTTTCCAGAACATACCCCGCACTCCACCGTACGCAGAGAAGCTGACTTCCCTTTGGAACTGCAGATCTCAGCCCTCATGAAAAGGTCCAGCTGCAGTCCGTCTCGAAGCGATTCTTTAGTCTCACCCGGGACAATACTCTGTGGAGATTGCACTGCTACGAGGAATCATGGATCGCGGCCGAGAGACTGCGTCCGGCCATCTCGACCTCCGGGAGTCTGGTTACCAACTCGGCTGCGTCTCTTAGTTCTCTGGGACCGACGTCTCTACGCTCTCTGATCCAACCACAAGCGGAACGTCTGCGAAATGCACAGGCGGCGCTCAACTCGTCTTTTGGGGAACGGTCCCGCGCAGCCGCTGCGTGGGATCCATCTTATGAAGGGGAGGAAGTCGATTGGTATTCCGAATATATTGCGAGAAGCGCCCCGATTTCCTTCAGCTGGCTGCAACAACCGTTCACACCAGACCCTCAGAGCAAGAAGAGACACAATCGCGAAGTCAAAGGCCTTGGGTTGCTGAGAGATTGGAGCTCCTCCAGAGAAAACAAGGTGATTGCACCACTGGACGACGGGAGTGTCTGCATTTGGGATATCAACCATTCCCATTCTATTGGGTCGCAAACGACCAAAGGCAAAGTTCTCGGGACCAGTGAACCGGGAATCCTGATGACCGATATGTCCCGGAGGAGGACCAACGCTGCGTCGAAGACCCAGCTAGAGTTCATCAACCTGGGGGAATGTGTGAGCGTGGACTCGATGCGTCGGAGAGCATATCTAGCTGTGGGAAACATTCTCAACGAAGTCGATCTGGAAACACTTCGGGTCATCTCACAGCAACGCTATCCATGGTCCATATTTGCGCTGTCCCAAGAGACAGACTACTCCGTGCCATTGACGCTGGCTACGACCCTAAGTCTCCACATCTACGATGCTAGGATGACTGCAGTAGAAGAGGAGGCAGCCATCAACTTGCGCTGTGAAAAGCCGACAGTTAGTCTCGTTCCCGAGTCACAACTGTACGCACCACCAGACTCCCCGCTCCTACAACTACAGCCCAACGGGCAACCCCCGCACCGAATACGAAGCCCTGGTCCTTCGGAGCACTACGACAACTATGCACCGTTATTCCAGCCCGGGCCTCTTTCACTCCTACACCCACCCGCCCCGCATGTCAACGCGATTTTCCTCGCTGGCCGCTTCCCGAGCATATTGCAGTATGACCGGAGATTCTTCCCTCGATTACAAAGCACAATTCATTCTGGTGGGCGACTCTGCGGGCTTGCTGCAGCGCCAGCCCCGCGATTCCCGGTATTTTCGAGCTCGTCCTGGCCGGAGTCGCACCGGGTGGTGGCCTGCGGCGAGTATAAAGGCCGTGGCTCGCTCGAGATATACAAGCTTACGGCTTCCGGTGCTAGCCAAAACGAGCCATCGGATTGGTCATCTAGTCTGTCGACGGTGTATCAGAATCGGCAGAGCGCCGCCAGGTCGAAGGTACTGTCTGTCGAGTCACACGGTACCCGACTGGTCTATTCGGATGCCGATGGCAACATCAAGTGGGTGGAACGAGATGGGCGATCTGAAGTCCGTCGGTTCAATCTGAACACGCACAAACCACGTCCGAAACATAGAAGAGAATCTTACGGGTCAGACAACGACCACAACGATGACGGGCATTCTCTTTGGAACAGGCCATCCCGTGAAAACGATGAAGTGGCTCGCAAGATCCTCCCTACCGGTGGGAACCTCACAGGAGACGAGCTGCTCATCTGGACGGGTGAGCGCGTCGGACGCCTCAGGTTTGCTCATTCCACAAACGTGGAGGATCATGAAGATGATGACGACACTATGTCTATCGATGAGGACATGGATGAGGCCACACGCCAAGAGAGGCGACGAGCCAACCGCGACATGCAGCGACGGGACCGAGAATATACCTGGATGATGAGGAGGGAGCTCGCCCGACAGGCCGACGAGGTGCGCCGCATGGGCAATTTGGGTTTGTGAGGGCGTCTTGGGGATGTATCCAGCGAATGAACGTGGTTTAGGTACATATTGTCATATTGTGGCCAAGGGACACTCGAGAGAGCTAGATAGCGTTTCGATTGTTTGAACCTTTGCATGATATACTTTAATCTTATTTCTACACGTCGGAGTCTCTGTGAAGATTCGACCTGAAATCCAGACCGGCTTCTAACTGGGGCGTTGGTGGCACCTGTTCAGTACATGTGGCGGCGCCATTGGATCTGGCCAGTCCTACGTACCTACATACACGATGGACGCAAATCAGGGAGACTGAGCACTGAAAACTGTGTGAGAACAATGTTTTTGGAGAGCCGACCCGTCATGGATAAGCCTTTTGTCTTGTATACACCCCTGCGTCTGGGTCGGGGCGAACTGCCGATAAGTTGTGAATGTATTTGATGATTCCGTCCGCTAGCCTACAGTAACCCATAGGCCTCTCTCTCGTCCTGGATCTCTTCCTGAAGAAACCGATCTATAGGTATCGTCTCTCTCGGCCCGCAAACATCGGCAGGCCTCGGCGTCTCCCGCAGCATCAACCGCGGCCGACGCATGACTGGCTTCTGACAAACCATTAGTGACCATTAGTGAGCGCCCTTCCATTTCTTTCTGTCTTCTCCTTCTCCAGACCTCCCCCCAACTTCTTCACGTTTTCCTTTTCGGGCCCTTTATATCGCAAACTCCAATACCAAGGTTCAATTGTATCATTGACTGCGTCGGCTTCCATCAATACTCTTGTTCGAGGCACCCAATACCCCGGAACTGCAACGCCACCTCCGATCTTCCCCGCGGACGGACCGACCGAGTTTCAGATATTGCGTTCGTGACTCACGACAAATCAAGGACTCCTCTCTCAATACTTTCATTCAAGAGCGTCTCCTTGATATTCCAATTTCTCTCCGGTCCTTTCCTTTCGTCATCCAGCGCATATTTCCCAGTTTAACGACCGACTACCCATCCCATTCTGCCCCGCACGCACGAGGGGCAATTTTCGCACCGCTGTGCGTTCCTCACTCACAATGCCTTCCACCACGATCTCCCAATTCGACTCCATTGAGGACACAATAGAAGCGTTCAGTAAGTCGCATCCGCTTGCATTCTCTGCGTCGTCCGAGATTGTCACGTTATCTCCGCACGACGAGCGAATATTCCGAGCCTAATTCCGAGCGCACCAACACCCCATGCTAACGGCGCTCGCTCAACAAGAGAAGGGCGAATTCATCATCGTGCTAGACTCGCAGGACCGCGAAAATGAAGGCGACCTCATCATTGCCGCCGAGTCCATCACCGCCGCCCAGATGGCCTTTCTGGTCCGCTACACAAGGTGCGTACACTCGCCCATGCACATCCCCCCCCAATCCAGAGAACCCGGTCCTAACCACCAACAATTCTGCAGCGGCCTGATCTGCGCCCCCATCACCCCCGAAATCGCCACCCGTCTGCAGCTTCCGCAGATGGTCCTCGAGAACACCGACCCCAAGGGCACCGCCTACACCGTCTCAATCGACTCCAGCGACCCGTCCGTGACGACGGGCATCTCCGCGCAAGACCGCAGTCTGGCCTGCCGAACGCTCGCATCCCCCACCGCTCGCCCCGAGGACTTCCGACGACCGGGCCATATCATCCCGCTTCAGGCGCGCAGCGGCGGCGTGCGCGAACGCAAGGGACACACCGAGGCCGCCGTGGAGTTCTGTCGGTTGGCCGGGAAGGCGCCGGCGGGTGTCATTGCCGAGCTGGTGGAGGATGGCGAGATCGTCGAGGGCGTGCCGGAGATCCGCGGCGATAATGGTATGATGCGCCGGGATGCGTGTCTGCGGTTCGGGAAGAAATGGGGTATCAAGGTGTGCACGATTGAGGATTTGGTGGAGTATTTGGAGAAGACGGAGGGTCCGGCTCCGGTTACGAATGGGAAGCATTGAGGAATTGTTTTGGATTGCATGTGTCTTGCTTTTGGTTTTTTTACCATCTGTTCATATTTTGTATTCATGGTCTATATTTTGCGCGAATTTATGCCTCAAGATTTTAGGTAGAGATATATCTGGTGGATTCGAGATCACAATCAGAAAGAAACTCATAGGTTAGCGATTTCAATACTATCTTCCTGTGTATTCCGCATGTCCTACAGTTGGTGTATTGGGTATCTATCTTTTGATATATATTTTACAATGCGGCAAAGCATGCAAGCAGACCTCAGACAGGAAACCAAAGAGCAATCCCTGTATAACCACCGAACGCCATTGATGCAAATTTCAGGGAAACCGCCGGCAGACGTTAGAATCCAGTTCCAAACCGCGTAGTCAATCTGAAGACAGAACTGCGCATCATGCCAGCAACAAGGGAACGGAGGTCACCCGTCCTAGCGTTTTAGATGAGAGTAGTCCCTCAAAATGCCCATCATATGAGTATTAGTCGTCTTCCCGCTGCGACGAGGTTTCTTGACCTTCTTCTGCTCGACCTTGGGACGCGCCTTGACAACCTTGTTCTTGTTGGTGGGGGTGATACCCGCCTTCTCCAGCTCTTCCTTGACAGCCTGCGGATCAGGGACCTTGATCTTCTCCCAGATTTGGCGGAACTCCTCGTCGAAGTGCTGGTTGAGTGACGGGTCGTTGGCCCAAACCATCTTGGCATGGTCGTCCTTCTTGTTCCGGGTGACTAGAAGCTTCCCTTCCTTCTCCAATCGGTTGATTGTCTCCTCGACGTTGGGCCAGCCTTCACGCAGCTCGCGCACGCTCATCCCGGCGCCCGTCGACTGCGCCTGCAGTTTCTGGAGCAGTTGTTCGGCCGTGCGGATGTTATGCGGTGGGCGGAAGGCGAAGGTTCCTTCGCCGTTGGCGCCGCTGGGGTCGTACTGGACCTTCTCGTGCATCTGGAGGATGCTCCGCAACGCTTGCACATAGCCCTGATCATTGGCGCGGTGCTGAAGCGACAAATACGAGACGATGTCGGAGAACTTCAGCGGGACACCCTTCGACTTCATATGTTCGATCGCGAAGATGACCTGGGTCATGATATCCTTGCCGGTACCGGTGTTGGCCGGCTGCGAGTACACGATATCCGCATCGTGGCGTTTCCGCTTGACCTCACTGCCGGGAGTCGGGGTAGACGTAGACGATGGCACTTGCGAGCTGGTGGCGGAGGTGGTCGCCGTATTTGCGTTGTGTACGAACCGACGCTGCTGGGGCATTCGATTCGCATAGTCAACGACGCCCGCGTTGAAGCTCTTCAACTGTTGCTGGAGATGCGACATGATGGGCGAATATGTCGCGCAGACGACCGTGCAAATCGGAGCAGATGGCGTGGAGGGGAGGAGAAGGTGAGGATAGGTTAGTCAAATGAGGCGAGATGCGCTCACCAGAGCCAGAGGGAGCTCGAAGTGAGGCCGGGAAGACTCATACGAAGGTTAGAAAACAAAGGAAGAGATCAACAGGTAATAGACAAAGCACTCAGAAGGGGCGATGCGACAGAACAAAGCCGTCGACAGCCTGGATACAAAGATGAGGCGGAGTTGGAATCGCTCACGATGTGGTTCCGTGATCGACTCGAGTCGCCGTGGCCTAAGGCAGCTATGTATCACGTGATTTAATACAGCGCTAAACCGCGTTGGGTGAGCAGCCCAATCCCAGAGAGCGCATCCATCCTTTGAAGCCGCTCGTTCATTCACCCATCCATACTTCGCTCGACGAGGTTTTGTCTTCACCTTGCCTCTGTCGCCTACACCTTTCTTTCCTTCTTCTCTCATCCCGCCATGTTATATTCCTCCTCACAGCGTCGGATGCACAGGTTATAAGGAGTGTATATTACGCGCGGCGAACCTCGTCGCCTACTTACACTGGGAGCTATCTCCCCGAACAACATCCTTTGTCGTTCCCATACGCAACGCCCGCTTTCTCATCAGATTTATTCTTTCTTCGATAATTGGCTGCTTGTGGCAGCTTCTTGATAGCCATCATGGCTGCCACGACAATTGAGCTCCCCTACCTCGCGTCGCATTACTCCATCGCGGAGTCTTCGCTCTCCACTCTCACCCAAGCTCCGACGGTCGAATTAGTCAATCAGCTGCTCGAGGCGATCACCAAGAAGGCGCGAGAGTTTGATGATCTGAAGTCAGACAAACTTCGGGTTGAGGTGGAGCTCGAAAATGCTGTCCGAAGTAGTGACTCAAAGATCAAAGTCCTGAAGAGTTCGGTCGAAAAGGGCCATGCTGAGATGGAAGAAACCCGGAAGAAGCTCCACGAATCAGGTTTGTATTATGTCCAACCACACCTGGAGTAGGTACTTACGCGTCATCCTACAGAGAATGCCCGGTCGAAGCTAGAATCCGAAATCGCGACGCTCAAGTCGTCCTCCACCTCCAACGAATCCGAGTTTACCTCTTTGAAATCCCGTATCGCTTCCCTTGAAGCCTCCAACAGGGATACACTGGCGCTTCTGGAATCGAAGTCTGCCGCCTACGATAAGCTGGCGGAGGAACTGTCGACACAACACAAGAAAACCATCGATTTGAGACGGGAATTGTCCATTGCAGAACAGAAACTTCAGGCGTCCAATGCGGAATCTGCAAGTGCCCGGTTCCGCGAACAAAACCTGGAGCGGGACCTGGAACTCACGAAGAAGAACAATGAGTGGTTTGAGACGGAGTTGAAAACCAAGTCTACCGAGTATCTTCAGTTCCGCAAGGAGAAGAGCGCGCGGATCTCGGAGCTTCAGCGCGAGAATGAAGAGGCGCATGCAACAATTGAATCCCTGAAACGCAGTGAAAACGGCCTGAAGAGCCACTTGGCTGATCTCGAGAAGCGCTACGAAGACTCGTTGACGTCTATTCAACAACTCAAAGAGGAGGCCATCCAAACGGCCGAGTCGTTCAGAAATGAGCTTGACAGTGCGAACAGACTGGCCGAACTTCAAGGCAACGCCGCCGAGACCGCCAAGAAGCGCGTCCAGGAATGCCAATTGGCGTTGGAGAAAGCGAGGGACGATGCTGCGGAGGAAATCTCAAGACTTCGAGTGGAAATCGAAACAGAACATTCCGATAAAGAATCTGCGGAGCGACGCGTCGCTGAGCTCGAGCACACGATCAGCCAACTCGAATCCGAAGGATCTGCACGACCTATGAGCCCAGGCTTGAACGGGGGTCCCAGTACTCCCGTCCGTGCCGGAACCCCTGCTGGAACCTTCTCTCCCAGGGCATCTCGTGGTAAGGGTGGTCTTACTATTACGCAGATGTATACGGAGTATGATAAGATGCGGACCATGTTAGCCGCAGAGCAGAAGACCAGCCAAGAACTCCGCACCTGCTTGGACGAGATGGTCCAAGATTTGGAGGCCAGCAAGCCTGAGATAGATGAGCTACGGGCGGATCACGCACGGCTTGAGAACGCAGTGGTAGAGATGTCCAACATCCTGGAGACCGCCGGAAAAGAAAGGGACGAGGCAACAAAGGAAGCCAGGAAGTGGCAGGGCCAGGTGGAGGGATTGGTTCGTGAAGGAGATATCCTTCGGCAGCAACTACGTGATTTGAGCGCCCAGATCAAGGTATTGGTATTGGAAGTTGCAGTCTTGAAGGAAGGCGAAGAGAACTACGACCGGGAAGAGTTGGAAAAGATTGCTCGGAAGGAGATTGATGAGTCGGCTGCGGATCTCACTCCGACCGGACGATTCATCAGCCAGAATCTCATGGCTTTCAAGGATCTCCATGAGCTTCAGGAACAAAACATCACTCTCCGTCGCATGCTGAGAGAACTTGGCGACAAGATGGAGGGTGCCGAGGCCCGTGAGAAGGATGCCGTACGGCAGCAGGAGCAGGAGGAACTCAAGGAATTGCGGATTCGCGTGCAGACGTATCGTGACGAAATCGCCAACTTGGTTGCCCAGACGAAGAGCTATGTTAAGGAGCGCGACACTTTCCGGAGCATGTTAACTCGCCGACGCCAAACAATTGGGGATTCTTCTGCATTCTCCCAGTCGCTCCCGTTGGGTGCAGCTCCACCTGCCGCTACCGATGAGCGCGGAGACACTCCTGACTACGCTGAGTTGCTGCGCAAAGTGCAAGCCCACTTTGACAGTTTCCGCGAGGAATCCGCAACAGACCACTCAGCGCTTAAGCAACAAGTCAATGAACTCTCGCGTAAGAACAGCGAGTTGATGAGTGAAATTAGCCGCTCTAGCAGCCAGCTTGCAGCTGCCACGCAGCGAGCCGAACTGCTCCAGGGCAACTACAACCTCCTGAAGAACGACCATGGTGACCTTCAGAAGCGATTCAACTCTATCATGGAAAATGCTACGAGACAGGATCTGAAGACACAGCAAGTAGCTCAGGATCTGGTGGAATCCAAGATTCTCATTGAAAGCCTCCAGCGTGAAAATGCAAACTTGAAGGCGGAGAAGGATCTCTGGAAGAGTATTGAGAAGCGATTGAACGACGATGTCACTGCCTTGAGAAATGAGAGAAGCCGCCTTGACTCCCTTAACGCCAACCTGCAGACGATCTTGAACGAGCGCGAACACACAGACTCCGAGACGAAGCGCCGACTACAGACTAGTGTCGAATCTCTCGAGTCGGAGCTGCAGTCTACGAGACGCAAGCTGAACGATGAGGTCGAAGAGTCTAAGAAAGCTTCTCTCCGCAGAGAATATGAACACGAGCAGAGTCAGAAGCGGATTGATGATTTGGTAACCAGCTTGGGCGCAGTGAGAGAAGAGCTGGTGGCTGCGAAGACCACACGCGACCATCTGCAGACCAGAGTGGACGAACTCACTGTTGAACTCCGGAGTGCGGAGGAGCGCCTTCAGGTTGTCCAGTCCAGACCCAGTGTCTCTGCTGCTCCGGCTGAGATTCCTGCAACTACTGAAGAGGGATCTCAAGAGACCGGCTTGACCCGTGAACAAGAACTAGGAATCCAGGTCGCCGAGTTGAAACGTGACCTGGACCTAGCCAAGGGCGAGCTTGAGCATGCCAAGGAGCAGGTTGAGGACTACAAGTCTATCAGCCAGGACGCAGAGGAACGCCTGCAATCGGCTACTGAGACACACGATCTGTACCGGGAAGACACAGAGCGCTTGATCGAAGAAAAGGATAAGAGGATCCAGGACCTCGAGAAGCGTATCGAAGAGATTTCTTCTGAGCTCTCATCAACGAACAATGAGCTCAGCAGAATGCGTGACGAACAAAGCGAGGCATCTCGCCGCCTTGAAGAGCAGAAGTCCGAGTTGGAGGCAGAAATCAAACGACTGAAGGATGACAATGAGCGACATGTTGCTGCGGCACAATTCCACCAAGATGATCTGAAGGCGCAGGCAGAGATCGCGCAGAACGCACAGCAGAATTACGAGAGCGAACTGTTGAAGCACGCGGAAGCTGCACAGAATCTGCAAAATGTTCGCAACGAGGCCAACCAGTTGAAACTCGAAATTGTTGAGCTGCGTGCCCAAACCGAGACATCCAAGAGCGATCTCTCCAAAAAGGAGGAGAGTTGGAAGGAACTCAAGGAACGATACGAGACTGAGATCTCCGACCTGCAGAAGCGCCGCGAGGAAGTGCTTCACCAGAACTCCTTGCTCCACACCCAGCTTGAGAACATCACCAACCAAATTTCTGCGCTGCAGCGCGATCGCGCCAGCATTCCCGAGAACGAAGACGAGGAATCAACAGCCCCTAACCTCGAAAACCTCCAGGAGGTTATCAAATTCCTGCGCCGTGAGAAGGAGATTGTGGATGTTCAATACCATCTTTCTACACAAGAGAGCAAGCGTCTTCGCCAGCAACTCGAGTACACTCAGAGTCAGCTTGATGAAACTCGTCTCAAGCTCGAAGAGCAACGTCGTGCTGCTGCCGACAGCGAGCACACTGCGCTGAGCCACAACAAGTTGATGGAGACGCTGAACGAACTGAATGTGTTCCGAGAGAGCAGCGTCACTTTGCGCAACCAAGTCAAACAAGCTGAAACCGCTCTTACAGAGAAGTCTGCTCGTGTGGAAGAGCTTGAAAAGCAAATCGAGCCTTTGGAAACTCGCATCAGAGAACTTGAGAACGTGGTGGAAACGAAGGACGGCGAGATCCAGATCTTGCAAAAGGACCGTGACTTCTGGCAGAAGCGCACTCAGGATATTCTTCAGAAGTATGACCGTGTCGATCCGGCAGAGATGGAAGGACTAAAGGAGAAGCTTGAAACGTTGGAGAAGGAGCGGGATGAAGCTGTGTCGGCCCGCGACACGTTGCAAACGGAAGCTGCGGCGTTCCAAGAGAGACTGGCGGAACTGCGCGCCAGACTTACGGAACAATTCAAGGCCCGCTCAAAGGAGCTCACTGGCCGCATCAAGGACAAGCAGGCCGAGTTGACTGCTATGGCCCAGGAGAAGGATGTAATACAGGAGGAACTGAAGACAACCAAGGCAGAATTGGACCAGCTTAAGGCTAAGGTGGCAGAAAACCCGGTATCTTCTACTACTGAAGAAGCAGCTGTCTCGTCTGCGGTCAACTCGACTCCTGCATCGCAGTTCCCTGCACCCAACACCCAGGTGACTGCCCCAGCAGACGACGAAAAGATCCAGGCTCTCGAGGGCAAGGTGCAGCGTCTTGAAGCAGCCTTGGCCGAGAAGGATGCCGCCCTTGAAGCCAAGGATGCCGAGCTCGCGACCAAGATAAGTGAGCGCGTGGAGGAGCTGAAGCAATCTTTCAATGCCGAGATGAGCCAGGCGAAGACCTCCCATCAACAAGAAATCGAACGCTTGAAGGCTGGCCAACAGGGCGTCCCTCAGACGCCTGGAACGCCTGGCCCTAGGCCTGATCAACCTCCTGCCACTCCCGTGCAGGGAGGAATGGTGGAGCTGCCCGAGCTTTCTGAAACTCAAGTCAGAGAGCTTGTCAAGACGAACGACGTCATTCGGAATATTCTTCGCAACAACATCCGGAGTAAGGTCACCGCGGAGAAGGGGGAGCTTACGAAAGAATATGAGCAAAAACTCGCTCAGGAACGGGAGGCGCTCAAGAAGTGCGAGGAAGGTGTTGAAGAAAAGGTCAAGTCTGCAATTACATTATCAGAGAAAAAGACGGCAGTCAAGATCAGCATGCTCGAATCTCGGGGTCGGACTTCGCAAGCTAAGCTCGAAGTCGTGCAGAAAGCCGCTACTGAAACTCCTCAGAAGCCTGTTGTTGAAGTGTGGGAGGTAGTAAAAACCACGAAGGCTCCTCCCCAGGCGCCCAAGCCTACTCAGGTGGGGTCTCCTGCACTGGATGCAGCTCAATCAGCACCTGCAGCTCCTTCTCCGTCACCAGCTCCAGCGCCTCCTAATGGAGCTGCCGCTCAACCACAACAACAAGCTCAACAGGAGCAGCAACAACAACAACCAGTGGCTCCAACAACAGCGGAGACGCCATCGACCGTTGCTGCGCCGGCGCAACCTCAAGCTCAGTCTCAACCCCAGGGAGAACAGCAGCCACAGCAGCAAGCTCCCGCCGAGGCTCCGACAACGGCTCCGGCGGAGAATGCCAGTTCATCGACGGGGGATCAGAACAAACAAGCCCCAGCGTCCCTTCCCAACAAGCCCCCTGCAGGCTCCAACACGGGCGTCCTTAAAGCCTTGCAGTCCGGTCTTCCTGTTGCCAAAGGCGGTCGTCAGGCAGCTCGTGGCCAACAGGGCCAGCAACAGCAGCAAGGACAAGGCCAAGCACAACAGCAAGGCCAAAGCCAACGGGGATCGGGTCTCCCGAAGAGCCGTGGCGGCCGCGGGGGCCATGGGGGCCCTGGTCGAGGCGGTAACATGAATGTTCAAACGAACGTACCCCAAGGGCAGGGACAACAGAACAGCCCTGGTGGTGGCCGCAATCTGAACGCACAAGCTCGCCAATTCGTTCCTCATGGCAACAAACGTGCCCGTGAAGATGGGGGCGACGGCAATGAGGGCAACGCTGGTGGAAAGAGGATTAGAGGTGGAGGCCACACTCGGGGCTCGTGAAGATCTACGTCTTTGATTGCATGGTGGTTTTCGTTTCTGTTGCATTTTGCATTTTATATCTGAATATTATGTTCCATTGAAGGATTCTTGCAGTGTTTATGACATCCGGTGCACAGACTGCCTGGAAAGAAAAATCTACCTGTTCATTCCCTTTGTCTATGCGAATCATGTTTGTCTTTTCATTTTTACCAAGATCCAATTGGGTTCTGTAGAATAGCACTACATTCCGTGCCAATTAATGGTTTCCACTCAATCAAACATATACACACTGGGTATAAAACAGCAAGTCAATCTAATCGGCTCCAAACTCCACGCATTCAACCGTAACAAACTAAGCGAAACACAAGCTCAAAAGAATCATCTCCTCTTCGCGCCCCCAGCAGGAACCACCAACCGCGCCAAAGCCTCCCGCTCCTTGCGCAAGGCCATCAACCGCGCCTCCTCCACCACCCTCCCCTCAAGCGACTGCAGGCCCTGCGCCGTAGCCGTCGGCGAAGTCATGACCTTCTTCGCGCGGACCCGGCGTCTCTGTCCCAGCCCATTGATAACCCCAGGCACCCCCCAAACAACCATCCACTCCCTGATAGCCGTGTTCTCGGCGATCTCACACCCGGCGCAGATCTTCGAGTGCGCGCCGATCGACACGCGGCGGTGGATGGTGGCCAGGGCCTCGACGCACACGGCGGAATGGAGATGCGCGCCGGGGAGGATCGTCGTGGACGGTGCCACGCTCACGCCCGCAGAGAGCCGGATGGGGAGGCCGTCTGTCGCGGGATGGGACGCGGACCGCAGCGAGGCGGATGTGGACGTGGGCGTGGGCGCGGCGCCGATTGTGGCCTTTTCGCTGATGATGCAGTCGTCGCCGATGATCACAGGCCCTTCGTAGGAGTAGATGCGGGCGCGCGGGTGGATGACTGTGCCCGCGCCGATGGAGATGGGATGCGTGCCGTGGAAGATGGTTGTGTCGGCGATTGTGGCGGTTGGGTGTGCGGTGACCGGGGCGCGCGGGGTGGGCGACGGCGATGGGGAGGTGGATTGCGAGGAGGAGGCGGAGCGGGAGTAGTGCGTGGGCGGGGGTTTGAGGTGTTGGCTCTGTCTGGGATCCATTTTGTTCGAGCTGGGGTGCAATGCGGGTTGTTGCTGTGTGGAAAGTTGTGTAGAGGGTGATGTTGATGCGGAGTCGGAGTTGGATTTGGAGTCGCCGCTCTCCGCCTAGCGGTCTATTGGGCTGGACACGACCACCCTACAACCAGCAATGAACAGACCAGACGTCTAATTGTATTTGTTTCTATACGTTATATAAAGGGGTTGGCACCATCAAGGGGTATCTAAATCATAATCATCTAACAGCCATCTCCCGTCTATCAGTTCTTTTCCTCCTCTATCGGCCGTGGAGGCTTGATGCCATTTCTCTTCCGCCACGCCCACACACCTCGATCGACCTCATCCCGGGTCATCCCATCTCTGACCAGACAGAATGTAACGCCCAACTCAGTCTCCACGTTGCGATTGCGCGCCTCGTCATCGAAAAACAGCATGTCTTCGTATCGGATGCTACTGGCCTGCTGGATGCGGGCAAAATGCTGCGTCTTCGTGCCAGGGAAGATCTGGATATAATCGAAGTAGTCCAGGGCACGGGTGGACTTCGTATTTGTCGCTGGTTTGTCCGAGAAGGTAGGGATGATGTGGAGGCCCTTCAGCATGTCGCGCGCCAGATCCGGGGCGTGCGTTCGCGAGGCGAGGGCGAGGGGAATCGAACGCGATTTACAGGCGAGAATGATGGAGTGCACGGCTGGGTAGAAGGCGAAGGACTCGTTCCATCTGCAGTATGAAGGTGTGAGTGAGTGTATGGGGTTAGTAGAAGTGGGTGTGAGTTACCTGTCGGTGCAGCGGGTGTTGTTATCGCGCGGCTTGACGGGAGCGCTGACATGCGTGTCTACCCAAAAGGGCCAGAGAGTGTAGTCCAGGTCGAATGCGATCAGCTTGGGTAACGGGAGACCATCGTTGAAGGTTGCGGGGGCGTTGGAGGTATCCTCCAGCGTTTGGGTGTTTGTCCGTCGGGTGCGTAACATTGTCGAGGCTCCGTTAGGTCGATGTGAGCTTGGGACTGAGATCTGTCTTCCGAGGAAAAACAAGCTGTCGGAGCCGTGGTTGAGAGGGAACAGACTCAAGATGGCGATCTGATATGCGGGGGATTTCCTTTTGCCCCCCGATCACGTGTGGAAGGCTGCCCTAGATCCATCCAGTTGGACATACAGGAATAGTAGACGTTACAATCGATAAATACTGTGCAACACCCCTCCATTAATCTAGTTACGAGAATAAATCGACCCATTCTATTCCGATGCTCTCCTTTTCACCGTTCCGTTTCCTGCCTGTCCGATCAGCTCCGACAAATACTCAACCGCCGTCTTGTCAGGCTTGCACCGAGTACCATGTTCCGGAAGCTTGCCGCTATCAAAGTACTCCCGAACGGCCTGGATGGTGCAAGATGAAGGATGGTTCATGAAGCCATGCTACAATCAGGTTAGGAAACCTTTCAATCTCTGTGATAGTAATGTGAGCACTTACCCCGTGTCCCTCATGCACCACAAGCCTACTTGCCGTAAAGCCAGCAGATATTTCCCACGCGGTACTCAGTGGTGTAATAGGATCATACAGCCCGTTAACGAATAAGATAGGAAAGCTTGTGTTGGTATTCCTGAAACCACCCTCGTAACGTTCGGCCGCATCAAACCGCCATTGCGAGCAGGGCCACAGCTCCGGTGAGAACGCGTCGGCAAAGGAGCCTTGTGCCGTCTGAGCTTCCAGTAGACTGTACATATCTTCCGGTAAACTGGCGCGGAGCGTGGCATCTACACAGGCAATCCCGTGTAAGGCGTCGGTGCCCTCATTCCATTTGGGTGTGGATGGTGGTGGTCTTGCTGTCTCCCAAAGCGTGTAATTGCGGGCCAGCGCTGCTTGGATGATCTCCATGAGGCCTGGAAACTGATCTGGACGATAAAGGTTGGCGAATATGGCAAATTTGGCTTCCAGTAAAAGGTCCATGCCTCCAGGCTGCCACCAGGATGATACAGGGTAGCTATCGGGGAGAGTGATAGGGTTATCGATGAGCTCCTGGAATACTTCGGATAGCGCGTCCATAAGGTCTTGAGGGCTGGTCGACGAGCCTGAATAGTTTGCAAGGGGACACATCGAAGGGCCAGCATTGACACACTCATTAAAAAAATTCATGAGGGCAGCATCAGTCCCACGTGTAGCAGACAACCAATAACCGGAGTAGTAGTCTTCAGCGGGTAAATTGCTGTCGAGGAGCATGCGGCCAACGCGGTCGGGAAACATGGCGGCGAATGTCTGTCCAAGAACAGTGCTGTAGGATCGACCCCAGAAACGCAGGAGGCCATCTTCGTTGAGAGCATCAACGATTTTCAGCATATCCCGGGCCACAAATGCTGTGTTCACGAAACTTCCGGTGTCCTTCTGGCTTTCATAACAAGCGTCGGCCAATACACCGCCATCGTGCCATGCTTTGGACTTGAGTGTTTCCCAGAGGTCACCTTGTGGAAACGAAGTGGCGTTGCCTCGACGGAAGAGGCTTCCGGGGTTGGCAGCACCGCTTGGTACATCGCATACATACGGGATCGTCTTTCCCGTGCCACTGCGTATAATCTTAGAACACTCGGCTCGTCAGACGGGCTTGGAGGCTTACCGGGCATCGAACCCAATCACGTTGAAGTGACCACCAAATACACTGTTTTATCAGCAGAATTCATGGTTCGTATCACGACGACTTACTCGCGATAGGCCGGCCCTTTCTGCACGACTTCTTCCACTCCTGAAGATCCAGGTCCGCCTGGGTTGAAGATAACGCTGCCTTTGACAGGCTCCTCAGTCGCATTGACCTTAACCAGCTGGAGCATAATGGTTTTGCTGGAGGCTGAGTCGGTATAGTCGAGGGGCACTTCAAGCGTTGCGCAGTCAATGGGAACAGCTATGTTCTTCTGGACGTCCTCAGGAAAGCTGAGGTCGCAAGGTGCCCAGTTAAGTGGACTAGACGCTAAGGTATCTGTATTGCCATGGGACAATGCGCTCACGGGGCCCAACGGAGCCAGAAGCAATGCGAAACTAAGGAACATCATGAGAAGAGTGTTGAGATGGGACAGTTGAATGATGAACTCACATGCTGTCAGTAACAACCCTATATATAGATGGTGCACGCAGGCTGATCTACGCCAGAGATACCCGACAAAGTTATATCGCGACATCAGTACAATATTGTATAGTCATTCGAGGCATCCTGCATCACTGAGACTGGTCAAATGCGTCGGACAGATTGTATGGTCGATTGAGTTGAGGACGTGCTAGCCGGATCGGGATGCATGTCGCGCGGCTCATCTTCCACCTTTCTCTCAACACACACACACATCCATTTCATCCATCCTCCCCTTGCCAATGAGTTAATCAATATAAACCAGATGGCGCTGCGCCTTAATTTCGAGTCTCCGCTCACACAAGGCGGAGTTTCTTGGCCATTTTTACGTCCCGATCGGGTAGTGGACATGCTTTGGTACCAGCATGCTGAAGTCGGCGGTGGGAATCCTTGTTGCTTTGAAGATCCTCATTAAGACAGTTACTAATTTGCGGTACAGACAACTGGTTATCTTTTGAGCCCTTGAAAGTGTGATTTATTTCACTGGGCTTGAGCCCCAAGTCTAACCCTACCTACAGAGGATTATTGGTGACTATATTTAAGCCAGTGGACCTGGAGCAAGGCTGAGATGCGAGGGCCTTGGCCAGAGGGTCTGACAGAAGCTAAGGTGTCACCAAACCCCCGAAGGATTGGGGCCTTTCGTTAGCGCCAGGGCTGTGCAGCTCAGACGTGGCACATGTCAGACTTCTTCAAACTCCTGCCCTACTTCAGAAAAAGCCTCCGAACCAACACCACGCAGAGAGATACCTCTTGAATCCAAATGCATTGGAATAATCTTTAGTTAACATGGCAATATGGGATGTCGACAGTGCGAGGCCGACGAGCCAAACTCAACAGTCGTCGCCATTGTCCCTGCAAAGCCCCGCGTCATCAGAATACGAACAAGACAAGAATAACAACAAACATGTTCGGACTCGTTGGAAGAGAGTCTACGGAGAAATTGAACCAAAATTCAAAGAATGGACTCCACCAATGCTAAGAGCACCTACGCTCGTTCTTCTTGCTATTTTCTGCTTCGGGATGATTGCGGCTCTGGAAGCCTTCGACTATGCTACGCGCACCCATGTCCTATCGCCACAGGATGAAAATGCCTTCAATCTTGCCCGGTACATGCCAACACTCGGAGTAATCGCGATCGGATATGTATTCAAAGGTATAGTGGCCGACTTGAAGAAGATGACCCCATGGTCTAACATGACGGGGAAATGGACGACTGGGAAGGACTCTGTCTTGCTCGACTATGTCAATGACCTGGAAATCGTATCCGTGTTTGCAGCGCTGCGGAGGAAGCACTGGGTGATGTCGACAGGACTGATGGTCGCGTTCATCTGCGGAGCTTTGGTGCCTTTTGCCAACTCGTTGACATACATCAACCTCTTCGCCTCAAGAAACGTATCAGCCACATTCTTGCAAGCATCCAGCTTCAACTTTGATCAGCATCCTCTGGCAATGCCTGATGGCTCGCTCAATATTCCATGGAATTACACTGGCGCCTTACCATATGCCCGTGTCTACTCGGAGCAGCAAGGAAATAACCCTCCCGCCCTATGGACCACAGGGCCCTATGCGTTCGACCAGTTTACATTTCAAAATGAATCCGCATTGCCGAATGCTACCTTGACTGCCGATGTGAATTCGATTTCTGCGTCCCTGGATTGCCACCAGGTTCGGTATGATATGACGGGTGAGGACTACAAAATCTTCGTGGCTAATCCAGATGACCTCAAAAAAGCTGAATGTCCGGGACCAGTCGAAATGGTTTTTGGTACCAGGGCCATGCCAGGGTCTGCTTGGCTGAACGTGACCCAGTGTTCTGACAACGATGTGCGTCTAGCAGCGAGCTTTCTCTCCGGCGAAGGGGTCGTGCCCGACATCCTGAACTACTCCGACAAATTGGTGGTTACGGGGTTGCTCTGCTCGCCGCGCTTTCTTTCCCAGCAAATCAGCCTTTCGGTCAACGCAACGACCAACGAGATCACTGCCTTCTCGCCTACATCCGAGCCGCAGAACTTGGATATCAAGACCTCTACTGAAGCTCTCGCGGTCTATTTGTTGAACCCTTTAGATACTACAACGCAGAGCCGATTCGGACAAGGCACACGCGGCGGTCCATTTGATGCTACTGCGAAGCCTATAGCGAATATCGGGAATATATCTGCTGCGGCTGCGAACCTTTTAGGCTCAGCAGACGGTGTGTTATTAGACGTGTTCATGAGCCAAATACTGGACCTCGCATCTGCAGACGACACCAATAATCTTGACCAGCTTCAAGCCAAAGTAACGGATTTGGCAAGCAGAATATGGGCGGAACTGATCAGCTTTTTGGCGAGGACAGAAACGTCAAGGCCTTTATCGGGAACGGTGACCATCACGGAGCCGAGAGTTCTTCTACGAGAGTTCGCTCTAAGAGCCTTTGAAGCTCTGTTAGCAGTTATAGGTATCTTTACGGTTGTCTTTATGGTCGCACTCCGGCCAAGAACTGTCCTCAACCAGGATCCAGGTCCATTGGGAGCTGCCGCCGCCATCCTTTCTACTTCAGACAGGCGTACCGAAACACAAATGGCGAAAGAAGCCATAACATCAGAGCGGTCAATGTACACAATGCTCCAGCATGCCCAGTTTAGACTTCAGAAGAACGAAGATGGAGGCTATGGAGTCACGATGATTCCCATCCAGGAGCAAGACAACGTCGAACTAGTAGCCCTCGATTCTCGGAAGCTTGGGCAAGTGGAATACCTGGCCGCATCAAGCGGTCAGGACATGGAATCGGCATCAAGAGGGAGCAATGTGTCCAAGGGTTGGAGGCCAATCCCCCTACGTCTTCCATCCAAGATTGCTCTGCCGCTAGCAATCGTAGCGGTGATGATAGCTCTCGCAATAATGCTGTGGCAGTCAAACAAATTGAATGGCATCTGCAGAGACACGCAGGCTTCATCAACCGCTTTGACCCTTGTCACGTCGGCTCTTCTCGTCCTCCTCGGATATTGCTGTGCTGGTGTAGACGCAGCTGCCCAGTCATTAGCCCCGTTCAACGTCATGCGGAAAAGGCCGAATCAGCAAAGTCTATTCACGGATGACCTATCGTTCATCGGCCGCTTCGCCGCGCTCGGATCGAGGAGAGTCAGCATCGCCTTGTTTGCATCGGCCGCGTATCTGGTTATCATTCCTGCACTGAAGCTTGTGGCTGCCGGCCTCTACTCTCCAGTTCCTACACAGGCTACGGAATGGGTGGACATAACCGTGGACGCCAGCCTCGTCACAAACCTCGAAAAAACTTTCAACAACCCATACCCAACTGATAGCGTCAAAACAGCATGTCAGTTCACAGAGTGGGAAAGCATACCCCAATTCGATCTCCCATCGAGGTCTGGCATCATTGGAAACCTTGTATTGAGCAACATGACCGCGATTTTGGACCGTCCAGAGAACAGTGTCCTATCAGGGGGGTCAATTGAAGCTCGCGTCCCTGCCATTGCGATCGATATCCAGTGCGAGACCATCTCCAGCGATAACTTCAACATATCCATAAAACGAAGCGACGCAATCACGACACCTCACCCGAAGAACTATACATTTGGGTGGTACTGTGCAACGGACGAATGTCGCCATGTCTATAACACGACCTACCAGATGACCTATCTGCAGACTTACGACTACTACCCGTCCATCCCGTATTATGTCGGCGGCACTGGAATGACTGGGGCAGATCCTTTCTACGGACTATCGCAGATGACAGTTGATGTGCCTTATTGGATTTTCCTGGTGGATTATTCATCTCTTGGGGGCTCGCTCTCGTCCTTCCACAACATGACCCCGATCAGTAACGAGACGATCACATGGGGAAAGTCAGACACGTTCAACGTCTCATTACCAAGAACCATAGGGACATATTGCACAAACAATCTGAGTGTCGTTCATGTGAATACCACTTTCACCAGGCCCACCCAGGTCGAGATCGGCGGAGGAATGGAACGACTCCCCTGGAGACCTATGTCCGTCGACACCAGCTCGATCGTCTATGAAAGACCCTACCCCAAACTGAAGCCTTACTACTTCGCTCCTCCGTTTCTACAGGCAAACCAATACATACAAGACAATGACAATCTCGACGGAAAGCTAGTAGGAGATTCCCTCTGGCCAAGCCGCGGAAGCAGCAAGAACATGTTCGAGCTACTCGCGTCAGACGCTCAAAACCGGGTTGGGAACCTGTCTCACCTGCTCGACCCGGAGGGCCTGGCCGATTCGGCTCGGCATGTTTACACCCAGTACGCAGCCCAGCTGCTCACGGAGCTTCGCTCCGCCACTGCCAATGCAACCCTATCGACAGGGAACCAGACCGTAGCGGCGACCCTGACATATCCACAGCCTCGCATGCGACAGGATGCTCGTGCAACATACGTGATCGAGGCACTTTTAGCGGCCGTGATTTGCTCTATTCTCCTGATTTTCCAGCAGTTCCCCAGCAAAGGCATCATACCGAAGCCCCCAGGCTCTATCGCAGCTCGATTCTCTCTTCTAGCAAACAGTAACCTTGTCGGGCAGATGCGGCAGGCGCAGGTGACTGACCTGAGAGAGGTGCGGAAATGGGGAGAGCCCGCCGCCCTGGGCTGGTGGCAGACTAGCTTGCCCGCAGACTCTGGCGATAACGCATCTCTCTGGCGATGGGGAATTGACGTTGGACGGGATGTAGTGCTACGTAGCTGGGAGAAGCCTCCGCCGGGGTCCTCGGCGCCGTCTGCACCGCAAATACCGCTCCTCCACTTGCCCCAAGAAGACATACTACCACTTACTGCGAGTTCACGGAGGAGTTCAGTCAGCAGTCTTGATGATGTTCATGACAGGAGAGGGCACCATGGCGAGAGTGATGTTTAGCATTGTAGGTAATAATGGTGATCGTGAGCTAGTCGTAAATAACCTACTTCATAACTCCTATGGGTCTGGCAATCACCGGCAATGTAGTGATGCTTGAAATCGGGCAAAAGGAGGCGCTGAGGTTGTCCATCCATGGTTGGGCTCCATGAGAGATACCAACGACCAGGTTCAGGAGTCCACTCGGCCGGTGGTCGACAGAATTCAGCTCTCAAATGGGAGAAAATAAGGCTCATAATCACCATTTCCATCCGGAATGTCGAGAATGTCCAGGGCCCCATCGGGCCAGTAAACCCCCTTTCCCTCAAAGTAGATGGAGCCACTATCTTCGTCGTGTAGAAACAGGCGGTAGGGTGGAGTGGTCCACTGGTCTAAGAACGCGACATCGGAAAACTGCAGCCCGAGATACTTTCGAAAAATGAACTGGAAAATCTGGAGTACAGGTCGGGGTGTAGGCAAAGCGAGGCGGTAGTGGGAGGGCTGGCCCGAGCATGAATACAATTCGAATAGGATCGACTCGAGAAATGGATAGTAGGGGGCGTTGGGCATTGTCAGATCCAGTGTTGTTTTGAGGAGGGCCGTATTGTGTGAAGCTTTGGCATCGGCTGGCATCGAGACCTCTTCCGGGTAAAACTTGTCCAAGAGCAGAACGGTGACTTTCCTAGGCCACATGGCCATCACCTCGTCTGGAAATAGTTCCTTTGGCTAAAACAATACGATTTCATTCCAGGTATCAGACAGGAGCATGTAAGCAAATACACATTGCAAGATATCTGCATAGAGAGTATTGGCATGGTCTCTGCTAAGCTCATAAGGGATCGCTCCCTCGGGGTACACGTCCGGCGGTGTTTCACGCTGCGCGCGATCTTGACTCTGTTGAACAAAATAATCGGCTAGGTGGCTGTATAGGGGTTCGTGATGCTCATAGGACTCAAAGTTGAACACATACCATCTGAGCATACGTTCTATATCATCGTACGTGAGGGGTCGATGACCACCTTGCTCAAGGAAACCATAGGGAGCGTCTAGAAATAGGGGTTCCTGATATATTCGACACGAGACCGCGCCGGTCAGGAAAACAGGATACATGGACCGATGAAACCTTTCCCTCCAGTCGTGTGCGGCGGTAGAACCAAGTTCGCTCAAGCGTAGCCAAACGTCCGCACCCCAGTTAGTGTTGACGAGATAGGTATCTTCAATACAGTTGACCAGATGTGCCCAGTTGAGGACCAGTCCCACGTGTTTCAAAGACGACTTTTTTGCTTTTAAACCCAATGACTCCAAAGGAAATGGGTCTGGAGGAAGCCGGCCCTCATGGAAACGCTCGAGGACTAAACGAGTTGCGCGTGCGGCGATCACAGCATCGTCGAAAGCGAGGATATCCCGTCGACCAACATCAGTTCCAATGGAATGTACAAGGGACGAGAAGATCGAGTAGAGTCGCTTGGAGGTTAGAGAGAGGGCGATTGCTTGGGAGAGACTATCGCAGCTTTCGAAAGTCAGGAGCAGAACCTCCGATGGGAGGGATTGAAGGTCAGTCATGATAAGTATGCAGTAGTAGAGTGGTGGATGTAGACAGAAGGCAACATCCACAGATAACTAGGTAGTTAACTTATGGGAGACATGGGTGACGTAAGATCACTTTCTCGTGGAAAGAGCACATGTCGAAACTGCCCAATAGGACTGCTACCATCTGGTGAGAGAATGTGTACAGTATGTGTGCTTACTTACTTGTCAACTAAGCCCCTTGTAAGCAGTTTGTGCCGGTGAGGTTCGTGGCCATACTGATTTCCATTTGCGGCAACGATAGCCCTATCAACATGCGAAGTATAGAAGTATAGAAGCCAAACTGATATCATCTCTCTTCACAACTCCCTACACCATCTAAACACCGAGCCCAACATGTCTCTAGACCGGCTCTTCTACACGCTCAACGGCTCCCCTCTCCAGCACGCAAGCGCATCTGACCCATGCAAGTTCTCGCCGTAGGCATCTCACTCTCAGCGAATCCCTCCGCGAAGCCCTACACATCGTAGGCTTCAACCACACCCACCACGGCTTCGACGCCTTCCTCCCCCGTCCATCTTGGAAGCGACCTACCGACTCCTCGAAGAGATGCACCACCCCGCTACCCCAGGTACCACCACCAAGCTCACAGCCCCAACTTCGACACCGTCCTCGGCAACTGCGTGGGCGTCACCGATCTGATCGCGGCGGAGTTCGCCCCGGAGCTCATCGCCGCACACCCAGACGCGAAGGTGACCCTCAACTTCCGCCACGATCGCGACGGGTGGTACCGCCGGTAGATTGGGACTGATGCAGGAGCTGGTTCTGCGCGGAGTTGTTCTGGAGCCGGCAGACGATGTGTCGGACGATGATGCCGCGTTCCTTTCAGGGGCGGTCTGTCGCGAACGAGAAATGGGTGTATAAGCAGCATGTTCCGATGATTGTGTAGGTTTCTGGGGAGGGATGTGCCGCAGGTTGAGTTTCCCCACGGGAATCCGCCCAAGGCGTGGGCGGAGCGTGTCACGCGCACTACTGTTGCCTATAATAGGCATGCTGTGAGGAATATGGTTGTTTTTGGGATGCTTTGTGCGGCCCTGCTGGCATGGACGGTGTATTGTCTACGGCGTAGATTGTGACAGATATCATTGATTTGCGTAGACTTATTGATACTGGCGTGAACAACCCTCCGCAACACCGCAACATACCAAGCCAAATCCCTGAATATCCGCCTGAACGATTAGCTACATGCAATCTCTCCAACTCTCCAAGCCATACCCAAGCCGCGTGTGTCCTCCGCCGTTTTCTTTTCCCACATCCAGAACAGTTAGTCAATCAAGGTACTGTCCAACGAACCCCTTACAAAGGACTGTAAGTAAAGCAGTTGACCGTCTCCAAGATCTTCCAGATCTGCTGGTGATCCTCAGCTCCAGTAATAGTCATCTCGTACTCAACCGAGTTCCAATCGGAGGCATAGCGCATGATTTGCATCTGCTGCTGAAGGTCCAAAATGCCGTCAGCACCAACAGCCTCGGCGATGACCCTGCGCCAGAGCTCCAGTGGAAGACCAAAGCGCCAGTGTTTCTTGTGGAAGAGTTTATTGCCGTTCGAGACGCGAGGGTTTCCTTTTCCTGCCTTGGCCGTGTCCTTAGAAGGGGACAGCGACGACGCGGACGGAGTAGCCTCTTTCTCCTGGATAGGGATCTCCTTCTCGTGGACAGAGACGGCCTGGTGATTGCCGTTGCTGGTTAGCCGGATGACAGGGGCCTGCAGGGCAGGGAAGTGCTCCTCGAAAATGTCACTGCCGGGCTGGAAGGGACCCAGGGATGGAGACTGCACACAGTAAGGAGGAGGGCTCTGTCTGGTGACGATCTTGAGGGTGCTATTGTTCTGCATGTGATTCTGGACGTATTCATCGACATGCTCCTCCTCGCATTCTTTGATGGTCTCTGTAGTTTCTTCATGTTCACCGGTCAGCGACTCGTCAGAGGGCTCGCCGGCGGCGCGGTCTTTGTCGTCAAGCAAAAGAACACGCGAGATAACCATCATCTTCAGAGAGGTGGCCCAGAGCTCCATGCTGTGCAGTCCTTCGACCTTCAGTGCCTCCATGCGGACACGCTTGGTCAAGCGGGTGTACTCCAAGTCCATCTTCTTCTGCAGTTTGCGCTGTGCAATGGTATCGGTCTCCCCGTAATTAGCGTCCGCGTCGTCAGATTCCTCATCTTCGGAGACGGAGCCCCCCTGTAAGTCACCGATGGCTGCAACTACCTCGAGAAGGCGCTTCGCGTGGGGAGTGAGACTGTCGTTGGGCTTCCAGACAATGCTCTTGCACTCGGAGACTGCGTCAGGCAAAGTCACTGCTTTTCCACCAGGAAGAAAGCTCAAAAGATGCTCCTGAGTCCGCTGGATGACAAGCATGCTGGCGAGCTGCACAGCGCTGCTGCTGGTCATGGAGACATCGGTAATGATGAGGTAGGGGATCGAGCGAAGGCCGCGCGTGCAAGCATAGCGCTTCAATTCGGTCACGTTGGGCACAGTGTTGGAGTGGCCTAGTAGACGACACGAGTTAGCTCTGTGAGGTGATAAGAAAGATACAGCAGGAGGACAGACCATTCTGACGAGGAGCCTTCGCCTTTCCAAGCAGTTTCTTCGCACGATTTTTCGGAGCGTCGTTCTCTTTATCCTTCTCGGGGCGAATCTTGAGCGCAGTAACTTGTTCGACGATATCGGTAGTTTCGTCGACGTGGGGACCAATGATGGCATCAGCATCGGTCTCAAGAAAGTCAAGGTCGCTCTTGATGTAGACACGAGCCAGGATCTCAATACCAGCAGGTCCAAGTGGGTTGCTTCCCAGGTCAAGCTTCTTCAGCATGTAGCAGTTCTTGAACGAGAGGAGGAAATCTCTCCACATCATCTGCTCTTCAGGAGTCTTGACGCGAATGTCATTTTGGGAAAGATCAAGCTCTCGCAAGTCGCCAGCACTGAGGGCAATCACTTCACCGAGCCTGGCCAGCGACTGAGCAGTAAGCTCATTTTTCTGGAGGTGGAGCTCAGTCACTCTAGCCAGACCCTCGGTATGTTCCTCATCGCGATACTGGATACACTCCAGGAGATCATCAATGAAGAAAGCGAACCCCTCGTCAGTGAGTTCCTTGCCAGTGAGATCGATCTCGACATGGGGGTCGCGTGCTGCAGCCTTGGAGCTGATACCAGGCGGGATACGCTTCTTCTGTAGGGACGGTCAGCTTGTTTCCTTGTTATGTAGGTGCGGCTTGTGTACTAACCAAGTCCTTGGAGACAACCTGGGCGGCTTTGATGCCAGTGATCTTTCTCTACAGAGCGAAAATTGTCAGGATATCATGAGGAAGACAGTGAGTTGTTGGAGTGCAAATATTACCGCTGCGTAGTTGAGCTTCCCCATCTTGGCCCGTTTGCCGTTGTTTGTTGCACGATGCAATGATTAGTCGTCTATGTTGGTCATGAATAAGTGTGCCGAGAGAACATTTAGAGGTCTGAAGTGATCCGGACCTTCAAGATCAATGGGCACTCACATCAACAGCAGAGAATCTTGGCTGCACGTGTTGATATCACAAAAGGACAGAATATCTAGCACTGTACGGTGTGTTCTGACTGAATAGATATCTGCAGATAGACAAACAGATACTGTGAGGGGGGAGAAGAGTATGTAAGAAGATTTCATCAACAGAAATCCTGTGATATGGCGGTGGTTGGAGAAGGGAAGAGGTGGGAGAGTGAGAGGAAGTGAAATGGGGAGCATGTTTACATAGAGGCCTCTTCTGTTGCTGTTGAAATTCTGCTCTTTATGTATCTTGCGCATTTACCCTCCATCCTCTTTCATTCACTGGGGTGGCATACGTCACTGAGGGCATGCATCACTGAACTGAAGGTCATGGTTTTGGACTGCTTGGAAAATCATGGCCTACTATGTCTGATAGGTCTTTCAGATCCTCTCTATAATGACATAATGTTCCAGTAGCAATACATGAGGCAATATCAACATGGAAATGCACAGGGCATAAGAACGAAAAACAATCTTCATTGTCGATGTTGCAGTATAAAGAAAGGAACCTGAAGGGAAGCCCACGCCGTATCCCTCACTAGAAGGCAGACCTCTCTTAGAAGAAGTTAACAATGTCTTTAAACTCATTCAGCAAATCCGGATCGATGTTCTCCCAGTCCTTTGGCATCAGGTTAGGAGTCCCCTGCAGGTAAGGCTGGGAATCGCAAGTTGGTCCAGCGGATGGGTCGTGCACGTCCTCTTCTTGGTTTCTCTTCAGTTGCTTCTCTGCCGGACAGTTTATCTTCTCACTCAAATACGTCATGGAAGACTTCCTCTTTCGTTCAAGGGGTCCAGGGGTGACGGGTGAGTTCACTTTCCATACGTCGCTCTTGGGATCAGCAGCCGCTTTCTCGTGGCGTGATTCAGGCGTGAGATCCGTCGATGCTTGTACCTTTGTCTTGGCTATTCCCGTCTTTGATGAATCAACAATGCCTCTCTCTGCGTCGTACGTTGAAGGAGACTTGAAACCATTTGTCCTAGCCCGGTCGCCAATCATGTCACCGATATCATCTGACCTGTTGTCTTTCGGTTGATCCACATGGACTTGAGATATGACCTGGGTGCCTGAAAGCAGGGCAGAAGGTGAAGGGAAGTCACTAAAGCTATCTTCACCATAGTCGCTGGAACCCTTCACAAACTCTTCTGGGGTGTCCGAGTCGTAGATGAACTCAGGCTTCCTGTCGCTATCTTTCAAGGTGCGTTTTGTGTGCTCATGGGCTTTCTCAGTGTTCTTTTCCTTCGTGTTGTGCTTTAGGCCAGGGGCTTCATAACGGTAGTCTCTATTTGTGTCTTTTTTACTCATACTGGCGGATATAGTGAGTTGGCCTCGGCCACTTGTGGTCTTGCTTTCGGTTCGTGGCCTTTTGCTGACTTTTGGCGGCTTGTCCAACCCTTCACGACAACAAAGATGCTTGCATCTGCAAGATGTTAGATCCTCAGCCAGACCCAAATTCGAAACCTCACGTTGTTTTGTCCTTGCACTTGTGGTTGCAGGTCCATCTGCCGTTTTCAAGGCGAGTTGCTTCCCCGATTTCTTCAACACACTTGTTTTCCTTGGGTGCCTCTGGAGAGTGAATGACAGGTTCCGGATGTGCTTTTGCGCATTTGCCAGGCCCGTCTTTTGTCGAGCTGTCCGCGACCGTCCAATCGGGGGCTTGTTCTGTCAAGGTAGGTCAGACTTGTGTCCAAATGATAGCATACATCAGACTTACCAAGATCGAAGAATTCTTCGAAGAATAAGTCATCGGTATCGAAACTGTCTTTCCTCTGGCAAAGGCTCGATTTTCCTTGGAAGGACTCATTACTCCGGGGCCTTCCGCTGTTCATCAAGTACCTTTGCCCTTTTCCGCTTTCTGTTGTCTCTGGACGATGTGGGAAATGGATGGCTGGCAGGTCTGGCTTGATCTGCGCAGATCTCAGCGTTCCAGCTTGGGTACGTCAGTAATAATCTGGGGGCAATGGATGCTGGGCATACCAATATCATCACACATGGCATGGCATATGATATGTTGGTCGTTGGCCTTCATCTCTGCACTGAGCAGTATCTCATGCCCATTCTGAAGCTTGTTTCCACTGATACGTCGAAAATCGATCATACGGCCATCTGAGGTCTCAGCGAGGAAACAAACGTAAACCGGACGTCTCTGAAAATACGAAGGGCACTTCTCATTCATGAACGCAATTTCTGCTTTGAAACGGATCTTTATCGGATTTCCCGGCTTGATATCCTGCTGAACATTTAGCGGAGGCCCTCGAGTTACCTAGGCCCCATACCTTTCCAATCATCTTCAACGATATACGCAACTTGGGGAAATCCGCCAGACGCCCGAGAAGCTTCACACCAAATGGCGGGTTCTTACTCAAGATCATGTCGATTTCGTGGGCCTCCCTGCTCTCCAGCTGCTCGATGCTCGTAATTCCCGCCGCGGCGAATTTTCTAACCGCAACCACGCCAATCTGTTCAATCTGCTTCATTTGAAGCGGGGAGTTGTCCCAGACCTTTGCGGCGAAGCTCCGTGCAAGTTCCAGCGCGTTGCGGACAGCGATCGAGTCCTCAAGACAGATCTGACAGTCAATGATGCAGCGAATGAGTCTGTTCACATGAGAGAACACGATGTTCTTGTCCTGTTGGAAGGCGAATTTGTGTTTCTGGAACTGCTCCCCGTCAGGGAAGTCAACTGCCCCTAGTTCCGATTGCAGGAGGAGTGATATCTTGTGAGATGAGAGACCAATGTCGACCTTCAGTGGGAATCGAATGCCATTGGCACGGTTTAGTTCCTTATACAACGATTTTTCGCCTGCCTTGAGCCGAACTTCGCGGAATTCCTCTGCCTGGCAGATCACGGAAAGCTACAGAGACAGCCTGTTAGTCTACCCCAAGTATCTTTAGACGACAACAAAGCACGTCTTACAATCTCAGATATGGTCGCTCGGGCTTTCAGCGTGAGGAAATTCTTCATCGTTTCAAACCGGACGTAATACCGCGCCATGGCATCGCCAAACTGCGTCGACTTGAGTCGTCCCTCGGAGACGAGACCGCATTCCTGCAAGAATTTGATGTCCTTCTCGCAGGTCTGCCGGAGCATCTCATCCTCGTCATCCCTGTTGGCCCCCTCTTTCAGTTGGTAGTACGTCGGGTTCCTTCTGAGGCGCACAAACAAGAAGGTGCCCCCGAGCCATCTAATGGCGGATTCCACATCCGTGACGTTTCCTAGTCCGATCTCAGCGTTCAAGTGGTCGATCAAGTTGAGATGCAGACAACTTTCGAGGCTTTCGGAGCCGAAAATGAGCTTCTCGTAGTGGCTCACACGTTCCTTTCGTGTCATTATCACAGCTACAGCGCTGTCATCGAATTGGGGTCGACCCGCGCGGCCAAGCATCTGCATGATCTCGAGATCCGAGTACTCCTTGCAGCCGCCATCCTGCCATCCAGCTGTCCCTTTGATGATGACAAGGTGACATGGGAGGTTCACACCAACAGCAAGGGTTGACGTGCAGCATATAATGCTAATTTGGCCCTGTAAGAAGCCAGTCTCAACGACATGTCGATCGCCTGGGTCGAGGCCTGCGTGGTGAAACGCGACACCAGAGGCGATAGTCGCTGTATATTGTCAGCTGGTACCTTCCTATTGCCTGAAGATCTTGAGGATAACGAACATCTGAGATCGGCGTTGTGTGTCTCCATTGGCGTGTTCTGTCCCTTCCATAGCCTCGCAGGCGCATTTGACATCGACCACAAACGAGCAAGCTCCTTGGCCGTTGCGACTGAGGAGTTTCTGGTACAGCAGAAGACCATGATAGGCTTCATGGAAGCGCGTGTCGCGATGATATCCGAAAGCCTTGTTCGCAATTAGAACATCCCTCAGAGCAATCGACAATGCACTTACTTCGAGGTACACATCTTATCGAACGCAAAATCATTCCCATACGACTGATACCCGTACACGAACTTCTGCAGCTTAACGGGCCGAAATTCCTCACCGAAGTGCTCCCGATGCGCCGGTACATGCTGGTTTGTTGCATTCTTGCCAAGCCAGGTCGCAATATCCTCCGAATTTGGGATAGTCGCGCTGAGGGCGACAAAACGGACGTTCGAACCGATCGTTTTCATCCGCGACACGACAGCTTCCAGGGTCGCTCCGCGAGCCTCTTTGAGGATATGGACCTCATCGATAAGGAACAGCTTGACGAGCTGCATGAGTCGCGCATGGTCCTTCCATTTGCGGGTCATGCTGTCCCATTTCTCTGGGGTGGTGATAATGATCTGGCTATTTTGCACGCTTCGCAGCTGCGTTTGGTCTGTGTCGCCGGTCAGTTCGGCACACTGCAGACCGAGAGTGCTGAATTTTCTGCTCCAATCGCGGAATCGCTCGGAGCACAACGACTTTGTCGGCGCCTGGTAGATTACTTTGAAGCGTTCGTCCTTCAGGTTATATAGCAAGCGACAGATCGCCAACTCCATGATGACAGTCTTGCCGCTTCCTGTTGGGGCGGCGAGGACGACGTTGTCGTCGGTCTTGTATATGGCTTGAAAGCATTTTGATTGGACTGCGTTGAACACGGGAAAGTGGAATAAGGAGCGGTAGTTATCTGGGAGTTCATGTGTCGACACGAGGACGATGCCTCGAATCGACATCGGTATGTTCTGAAATTGAGCCGGGAGTTGTTGGTGAGCTCTCACCGACGCTTGTGTACTGAAGGGGACAGGTTCCTCAGGTTCTGAAAGATGTGGGTATGTCTCTTGTTCCCTGCGGTTTTCAACATCGTGAACCCGTAGCGGTGTACTCCTCGCGGCTTGGATCCTAGTCAGAGGGCTAGAAGGAGATCGAAACTCGGTAGACGAACTGGAATCCAGGAGTTGACGAGGGGTGACATGAGGACCTGAAGCTACTATTCTGTCAGTCACTCTAGCCAGACGAGGTGTTCAGCATTTGGAACCCACCGTGGAAGAACTGTGACTCCTGAGGCGGATCCCGTCTCGATGGGCCGTCAGACACAGCCTTGGAATCGTTCGCCAGATGCTCTGACTGAGCAAGCAACTCAAGATCTTAGGGACGTCAGCTACTTGTCAGTAAGCGTCAGCGCTGGAGATCACCTACCAAATGCATCTAATTGTAAGTCTCCTTCGGGGGCGAACGGAAGTGGTTCAGGACGATCTAGCTCATTAGGCTCGGACCTATTCTGTCTGCTGAAGAAGCGTGAGACCTGGGCTCCTTCAATGAGCCTCTTGTCAATGAGACTGCTGGGAGTAGATCTGCTGGATGAAGGAGCATCTGCTCTGCGTCGGATAGGAGCAGGGCGACGCATGGCGAAGGGGTGGGGAGCTGTTCGGCGCATGATTGTTGGCGATATATATCCCAAATATCTCCTGTTAAGAGCTTGTATAAGTGTAAACAGCACACAGACACTCGAGGATACAGTACAGGTCGAGAGAGGACTAAGTGGAATCACCAGCGAGTCACTTTGCAGGGGAGCACGTGGTAATCCCCATTGGGAGTATATCCCACTCTAGACATCCATTTTGAAAGTCCTCGCAACAAATCCCTCAGGTATGAAAGAGTGTAAATTTGAAACATCCAGATTCTGGCAGTTCAGTCAATTGACCGCCGGTTTATACTCCCATTGGAACTGTCATATAGTATAGTATTCAGCAACTCATCAGGTAACGACAGGATATGATAATGGTACAAAAGTCAGCAAATATAAACTCAAGCAAAAATTCCAATCGCTTCGCTAGCCATGCTTATTTACTTCGTACAAGGCAAAACATCATAAGTATCACACAGCAAACGCAGGTTCGTATCCGCGTCTATTCACAGCAACGACTGTTGCTACTTCTCAAAGTAACCGCCGCTGCCAGTCCGGGAAGTACTGACTCGAGCATGACCCGGCGATGTCGGTCTGGACGACGATAGACCGGCATCAGAAAGGAAAGGCGTGGTAGGGAGCTTTATCGAGAAATCATTTGCCCCGGCGGTAGCCGACGCAGGGGACGTCTCGTCACTCTTGGAATCTTTCTCGTAACGATCGACCCGAATTGGAGGAGGACGGGGAGCCTGGCGTTTGCCGGATGCCACGCTTGTGTCCTCACAAAGGTATGTTCCTGCAATAACCGCAAAAGTGCCAATAATGTACTATACAAGTCACATATGGTTAGATCATTTCACAAAGCGCGCTCCGGGTGGAAGAGGGACAACTCAACATACATTAACCTTGAGGTCGAATTCAAACAACCACAAACTCACCAACGAGGTGAGGATGATACTCGTGGCCGAGGCAACATTCCTTGCATCGTGCTGCGCATAACCAATGCAGAAGGATGATGCAATGCCACCGATGGCTTGGAGAATGACGGTAGACCAAACCGTCCAATTATATCCGTCAAAGAAGCCATTGGCCGCCACCTTCTCTCCGTCCAAGAATACCACGCCGATAAAGAGGGCCGGGAAGATCGAGTAGATAGACAACTGCACATTGCGAATCCAGAGGGAGGTCGACTTGGCGCTGTCTTTGAGGACCTTCTCAAAATACACGCCCGCGAGGCCCGATGCGATGCATGCACCAACCGTAGCGGTTAGACCGACCAGGAGATTCATTCGCGGGTACGCAGTCATAATGTCTTCTTCGATGCCTTCGTACGTGGCAGATCGCTTGTGCAGGTTTCCGCGGTTCAACTTCGCAGCCTTCCATTCTTCCAGAGAACGAGGGAAGGCGTGGTGCATTGTCTCGTCCTGCAGCGAGATATCGTCGGAATTGCTAATAGGCAGCTGGACGATCGCGACGCCCACGAGGACCAGAAGCAACAATCCCCATTTGCGCAGCGGTATCGATGTCCTCAACAGCATGACTCCAAAAACGGATGCGACTACCAGTTTCAGCTGGTAGGTGACCTGGAAAACGGCAGCCTGCATGTTGGACAGTGCGATATATTGAAGCGAGTTCGCCAGGGTATAGAGACAAGCAGGAATAGCGAGTTTCCAGCTGTCGCCCGTGAACACGGTGCTTGTCAATGAGGAGAGAAGGGAGGTCGCTGCGACGGTGGGGGGCGCGGACTGAGAGACTTCGTATAATGCCACGGTCAGGGAGATGGAAAGCTTCACCACTTCATTGAAGAAGACAGCCGTTGAAGTGAGGTATCGCTTGCCATTCGTCGGTGGCTGGACCCTAGAGTAATGCAAGAACTAGAGTAACGATGGTTAGCGGTCGTAAACCCCCATCCATATCCTGAGCGATCTCACGAGCAACATACCAATACAAAAGCCGAATATTGTATTGTCATCTGCAGAGCAATAAGATAGCTTAGCTAGGAGGCCACATGGCGCGGCGCGAAACATCTTACCCAAACCCAGGATGAGTTTTTCAGGAACGCTCCTAGTCCAGAGGACTGACGCTTCGAGCTCTCCCCCATAGTCACGTTCTTTGTCCTCCGTAGAGTGTGAAGATCTCTCCCGACACGACAATATCTGCCGAATACTCAATACACACCAGTCCCTTAGAAGTCGCGAAAGGTGAATGTGACGAGCAACACGATGTTGAATTGCCGAGGATGTTTCATGCGACGTGCGGGTGAAGTTGTGGAGAGAACTGGCACGGCGTGCGACGGCAACCTGTACTAGACACGACCCAGCAGAATGAACGTAGGAGAGAGGCAGCTGGGAAGAGTCTTCAGGGATGGGCAGAATTGGAGACGTGTCAAAGGAGTGAAAGGTCGAGTCCAAAGATGAGATGTGGCGGAAAGATGGTCAGGAGGCGACAGGGGTATGGAGAAGAGAGAGGAGTGCGTGTTGTGTGGATGTTCGGCGCGTAAGCGGTCGACCGACCTGAAACTAACCATAGGAAGCTGGGCGACGACCTTAAAATATCCGGGGTTGCTTTTGTTTGGTGGACGAGGGGCGGTGTGGACTGGCGGTTCTTTTTCCCTTTGGCTTGACGTCAGGCCCCAAGAAAATGGATTCCCGCCAACTCATCGCTCGGTCCCGCCCTAAGCCACCTTGGCCACCGGCGAGGTCTTTGTCTTCATTCGAAGTTCTAGAATGCCGTACGACCACTACACCTTGGCCCATTACGTTGGAACCATCCAAGACCCTGGAAATCTGTGTCTAGACGAGTCTCAAGCTGACAATGAAGTCATATGTCTCAAAGTCCGCGGTATGTAAGGGGGAGTGGAAAAGACCCTAGGATTAACAACCGGCCAAAGATGCGAGAACTATAATTATCTATATTTCCACACGTTTCCTCCAGGTTATCTATACAGTCCGCCAGACATAAAGGGTTCTAATACAGGATAAGAAATGTAAATCATGAGAGATGGAACGCTCGGTCGCTGAACAAGCCAATGGAAAAGACAAAGAGAGGGACATCATGTGGTAGGTAGACAAGGAAATATCGGTAGGTAAGATATGAAAGAATGGTTCGACCGTAGCTCAATGTACCGCAGTCAGATTCGTGTTTTCGGTCCACCCAAGCGCCCAGATCGGGAACTCGGCTTTGTCTGTGGGCTGCTCCGTCTCACCCAACACAATGGCCTCACTGCTATCAGTGCGTCTGCGTGAGTGTCGCCGTTGGGCTTCGGGGACGGCAGGGGGTGGGTAGTTCGGGGGTGGTTTTTGCGAGTAGGTCGAGAAGCGATGAATAGGAAGGGTCGGGGTCAAGGGCGACGCTGCACTAGTTGCGGGAGATGGGAGACTTTCCGAATATACCAGGCTGGCTCGCGAAGATGCCATCGAGTTACCGGTTTTCTGTTCTGTATCAGAAGCCGTGCCCTTAGAGGTGGAACCGTCTTTGTCAATGTGAGTTGCACCTTGCTCTATCTTTGCTAGATTCGGAGGTAATCCAGGGCTTAACCGAAGGAAAGACGTATCAGAGCCATAGAACGAGTCCCGAGAGGGGCCCGAAATCATAGATCTCCGATCAGGTTCGTCGGCGCCGGTGTAGTTGAAGATGCTGGGGGTTATCTTCCCCCGCCGCTGTCTCATAGCTTCCAGGAGCGTCTCCTCCTGTCGTGTCACGGTCATGATGCGACTCCTCCGGTTCATTTCTTTCTGAGACAAAGCCATGCTCCTCCGCTGGCTGAAGATAGGATCGCCGTGGAAGAACTCGGGCTCCAGAATCGCAGGAACACCACTTGACCGTCGGGAAGGAGTCTTCCTCGTAGCCAAAGATGATTTGCCTTCGGAAGGCATCGAAGGCTTTCTGTGAACAGATTGTCGAGCCGTCAGTTGAGAGCCACGCGTGCTCGTAGACATTGGCCTCTCAACGCGTCGGATGGTCCCCTTTGTGGCTTGGGCGGCAGAAGCTGTACAGATTTCGGCCTCGAATTCACCAAACGTCGTAACGCTGTCTCTCCAACTCTTGTGCCCTTCTTGTCGATCCTTGGGCAGCTCCTCCTCTTCGTCCTCCTCGTCCTCGGACGATGAGAGGCAGAGCACACTTGACACGTTAAGGTCAACATTCTTCAACGTGCTCTTACTACTCTTCTTCGACACGGAACTCTTGGTGGATGGGACTTGTAAGTCCACTGTTTGTCTATTTGGCGAACGCGACCTTTGTGTATGCGTAGGCCGCGCGCTCTTCGGCGAGAGATATGTCTCCTTGCTCCAGGCTCCAGCGGAGCTATTAGATGGGACTTTGCGCAGTGAGGTATCTGTCGATTTCGCATCGGCATCCTGCGTTCGGTCTCGGTTTTGATGACGTGAATTTAAGGTGCTCGACGGGCGTCGTTGGGATTGTTTCTGAACAAAGCTGTATTTATCCAGAGCCAGGTCCATCTCGCTAGTCCGCACCGTCCGGACGAGAGAAGGATCCACCCAATCTGGGTTACTCAATTTGGGGGATGCGGGGACAGGCGAACTTGGCACGCGACTCGTGGCCCTTGTCGTCGGGGGTGTCTTGGTGAGCCTTTTCCCGACGGCATGGAGGTCTTCCTTTGGTTTGACGGCCGATTGTTCGGAGAAAACCGATACCGAAGAGGGCGAGTTGACCATGCGCTGGGGCGAGAGAAGAGGAGGGCCATTTGTGCGAGGTTTGGGGAACAATAGCGAGAGATCGATTCGAGGGGGACGCATCTTCCGCTTCGACTCCTTCATCGGCCCTTTGGGCTGTCTCAGATGGAGGCGGGGCTCCGTACTGTTAAGGGGTTCGGAACTCTTTTCACTCTTCAGTGAAGATTTTGTGGAACCCGCGAAGCCGGACGTGGGCTCAATGGTCGAGTCCCGGGAGTTGAAGTATGAAAATAAGGCAGAGGAGGATCCGGACTGATGGATCTTCCTTGGAAGCGGAGGGGCATCATGCGATCGATATTCCTGGCCTAGGAGGGGTGACGATGCTCGAACACGAAGGTTTGGGGAGGGCAGACTCGTTTCCTGTGTAACTGTCGGGAATGCGACGAAGCCCGCAGACTTCTGGGATTTTGTCTCTGGGTTCCTCATGAAGCTGGGCCGCCGTGTCCGCTTTGTCTCGTCGGTCCGTTGCTGAGGCTCCTGCGGGAGGGGAATCTCTGTAGTACCCAAGAGCCGTTGAGCCTTGGACGGCTTGTCGCGTTTAAGGTCTTCGCGGCTTTTCATTGGAGCCAACATTCCGTGGGATACCGCGTTGACGCTGGAAGTTCGGAGTGGGATGTCTAGGGACTGTTGAGGCATGATGTTGTGTGGATCGATGCCGGGGACGCTGCGGGATTGTCAATGCGAGCGGCAGCCGGAGGAGACAGGCGCGGTCGAGGCGAAGGAGAGGCGCGGTCGAGGGCCAGAGGATTGTGATGGGTTCCAACCGTAGGTTTTTAAAACGTCTCGGATGCTTCTGCGGTCTGAACCCCCTCAAGACGGGCCTTTCCCCACACTAAACGCGGTGAGGCGTTGCTTCAGGCTAACTAGGCCACCGACTGGTTTAGATCCCGACCTCCACCGGTGCGAAAGAATGCAAGGGAGAAAATGCAAGATTGGTGGCTTGAAGTTGTCAACCTGACATGTCCCTAGCGTCAAGGGCAGACAGGGAGGAGAGTGAAAGCGAACGGCGGGTGTCAATTGATCGAGTAGACAACAGCAACAACAATAACGACCCGACGGATGTGAAGGACGTGGGAAAGTGAAAAGGAGCTGATTTAAATGATGTACCGGGGACAACTCGGTGGATCAGGAAGTGATCGGAGACTAAAGCGTCCGCCCGTGCGTGTCTCGAGAGGGACGGGACACGATGAGGGAGAGTTCCAATCAGACGGGTTGGGGAAGGTGGAAATATAAATGACAGAAGGATTTCCAATTAGCTTCTCTGCCCACGGCAGAAACGGAGAAACGTATTATTAGTAGTAGTATTATTATTATTTGATTAGACTGCAAAGCCCGCATGGACCACTGTCTTTCAAGTACGTAGTGCGAGAAAAACCAGTGGAGCGGACCCAGAGATGATGAGCAGCCTGGTGCACCGGGGCTCAAGGCGAATCATCGTGCCAGGTGGCTACTCCATCCGGCACGGCTGATCAATGTGCACTCTGATCACTTATGGAGTACAGAGGAGGCACAGCATTGTGAACTTTGGAATTCCATCCCCTGGTCAGGCTGGTTCCGGATGTGCTTTTCCGGATATTACGGCGTCCCGCAGGGCGAGGAACTCGTCGCACGGCGATGCGTATGCCCATTGCAAACCATACGATAAACAGTAATCATCGACAGGCACAATCCTTGGTTCCATAGATCGTAGAAGGGTTCCTGAAAGGTTCTTTAGTGGGCTAGTTAGTCTGGGCCAAGTGGACCATCCAAAACAGCAAGGATTGTCCTTCTCCAGTATAGAACTCAGGGGGCCATCGCCATCATCCATGATCGAGAACACAACGAACCAGGGATCCGGCGGTTTCGTCATTGGGTTTTTTGGAATGTACCTTGCTCATGTACCTTGCTCTTGCCCGGTCCAGTCGAGATATAAAAAGAAAAGCAAAGAGAAAGAAGGAAAACGCGGGAGGAGAAATCTCCCATTTGGCGGCAGAATTTGAAATTCGATAGTGTCCATAATCACGACTATTGAAGGAGGAAACAATGCAAGGAATTCCGCTCCACCACGTGCCGCCAACCACGCGACTTTCCTCTTTCGGCGCATTGTTCTCCCTGGATTCCTCCTCAACCTACTCCGTACATACTTAGGGTACAGGTTCTTCCGATTTTGCTTGATAGAACTCGAATCGCTGATTAAAGGGGCTTCACCAAGCCTAGTCACCCGGCCATCCTTCTCCACGCGTTCTGACAACCACTCGATCGCGGGTTCGATCGAGCTAAAAGACCAAAGAACTATGGAACTCCCTGCTTGGTCCGCCGCCATCCAGCCGTCCTTCCCTTTCTTCCAATAGCAATACTCAGCCATGCTGATCCCCATCCCGCTTGCCACAGCCGCCCAACTCCATATCTATGGAGCAGATACGGAGTAACCTGTAGAGTACAGCGTCACCACAGTGGGGTCCATTCCAGGCCTGCCAAATTCAATAGTAGCCGAATTCGACGCAGCTCATCCGTCCAGCTGGGAGGACAACCCTTCCCAACCAGGCCTCTGACTTCCCGTGCCATACTCAAAAGGGGTAGGCAGATGGAGTCTGTCATCCGCGACTATTGTTCCTCCACAGAACCAAGGGCGGGATCTATTTGATCATACAGACCCTATTGACTCGCCATGTGCTTTCCCAACGTCACGATTGTCGTGGCGATTCTGCAAGACATATCTCGATCGTCATCAATAGTCGACAGGTCTACTGAATTCTTTCCATGGGCCTTCCATCGAATAATCGCACAGAAGGGGGCGTAACTCTGTTTCCTGCCCAGGATCAGCATCCTGACTGCAACAGCAGGGTTTACTAGTCCAGGTAGTTAGCTTCCTTCGACATGAACGGGCTGGGAGCCTTCACAAGGGGCCAAGGCACGCACTCTCTCCGTTTGCGAGCGAGACCTGCCAGCGTTCTTCCCGCCCCTCGGCTGATTATCCACTTTCCTGCCAGCTAGCTGAGATCCGAATCGCAGAGGATCCATCATATCGACGTAGATCATCCGCAAACCACCAATCAGACTCCCCATGGACCTGGGTTTGTTTGCAGGCCGAGAGATGTATGTGAGTATCGGAGATCGACGGGGACATGACAAATTGTCGTTTCAGGTTGATTACTGGACCCAACTTTGACAGCGTGACACCCACGCTACCAACCAACACAGCACCGAATTCTCCGGAGTATATCTATCTAATTAGAGAGCGCGACACCATTTCGCAGAATATATAAAAAGTATTGACGATATGGTAGTCTACCGCTTATTATTAGCAAAGAGCTTCCCCAAAGTCCTCGGGATGCAACCCCCAGGATCTCCGGGATCAGAATCCCAGTGATTTGGAACCTCTACTCCACTTCCCCTTTTTCCTAATATAGATCGACCAGATTGCTCCCCTTTTAGAGAGCAGCCTACTCCGGAGTGACCTCGATGCGAGCAGGGCCCACATCTGAACCAGTAGTGGACGAGCTCGTGTCATCGATTCCGTAGGACTAACATTCGCTCGATAGGAGCCTAGTGTTCCGTGCACAGCTTCGTCGGTCCTTCCAGGACATCACGAGATGGCTCGGGGACCAGATATACGGAGTACTACCTAGGTATATGGATACCCACTCCTGTCACCCGTTCCAGGTAAAACACTCCGATCTATTCCGGAGTCCTTCTTGTGGGTGATTTTATATGCAGGTCGGATACCCACAAAGAGGTCGGTCATCACATGTCCTTCTCACATTGAGAGATTTCGAATTTCGCCTCCTTGTCAAATACTTAGGTTCTTGATTGGTAGAATGTAGGTGGTCGGTCGGGAATTTCTGACGTCTACCTCACAGACTTCCTCTCCTGGATATCTATGACGCCGAGCTCTACCAGGTATTGTTTAATCAACGTCAGTCCCGTTAACAATCCTATGATTATCGCGCTGGTTTCAGACTAATGATACAGCTTCCCAGCACTCGAGTAACTCTATACTGTAATCCTGCCGGGTCGTCTGTCGACTCCGTTCATAATGACTCCGTCGAGATGAAAACCAGCAGCACGAAGCGAAAAGGGACGTCTCGCATATTTGAGACGATCAGGGTCCTGATCGTCCGTTGCACGTTTGAGGATGAGCTGTCATGAGTTTCATCCGAAGTGAGTGCAACAATATGAAACACGCACAATGCCCGACAGTAAAGATAGTGTGAAACCTGTGTTGCGACCACCAACCCTTAATTCCTGCCATTCATCCTCCCCTTTTTTCGGCTTCTTTCCTCCAACGTTCGAGTGGACAGGGCAATACAATTGTTGATTAGCCTTTGAATGAAGTGACGCGTGGAAACAAGTCCGTACGTCCCAGCAGCCGGTGTTGGGCCTACTTTCAGACCACAATCTCGAATACAACGTCTGATACCCTTCCCCAGTCAGACGCACATACTCTCGTTGTCGGTCGTTTCGGCCCCAACGTCAATTGGATCAGGGTAATTGCTAATCTTCCGTCGTTTTCTGTCACTCTCGCCCACTTCTGTCGGGACCGATGTCTTTTCGTCTGAAGCTCCGCTTGCCAACGCAGCACTTTTTTGTAACGCCTTGTCCAGGTCATCGAGCTGGTTGCTTTCGTCCCCATTCCCTTCCAGAGGCTCTCCCTTTCTCTTAAGTCTCTCCCTATCTCCCAGCTTCTCTGGTTCACCGTCCGCAGTAGCGGCCTTGTCACTCTCGGCAGGTATTGTACTGGCATGAGATCCAGGCTTTTCGAAGGAACCGTGCTCATAGCTGATGATCATGCCCGGGCCTTCAGGAGTAACATCCGCGGCCTGTCGTGTGTACTTTTCACAGTTAATATTCCTAACCATAACATTTGGCACGAAGCCACTTACATGGTTGTGTATCTTCAGCATGGGTTCAAAAATCTCTCTCTCCATTCTGCGGTAGACATCATCCGACGGAACAAGGCCGAACTTAGGCAATCCCTTGCGGACAAACCCCTTGGCTTTGTAGCCCGGCGTCGGCCGTATGAAACCCCGTTTCTTTAGAAGATCAGTTATTTGGACTGTAGTTCGCCCATTGCAGTCTATCATTCATCAGTTCATGCCAGGGCTACGTCTCCGTTGACGGGAGCCACTCACGGAGCTTCTGCGTGAACAAAGAAGTTTTCTTCGGGTAGCCCTCATCAACAATTATCTTCAGGGCTCTTCTCAATAGGACCAGTGTAGTCATTTCCGAGAGAAGGTGTGGCTCATTTGGCTCAAGTAGGCATTGATAACAAGCATGGGTTTTTGGTATCCGAGGGTCAGTGGCATCTCTGAATCCGTAGCACAGAAGATGCTGGCGAGTATGACAAAAGCCGCATTCAATCTGTATAAGTTAGCATCAGTCATCTCCTCGAATGAAAGGCATACCATAGCCGCTTCTTGTCCGTTCCAACCGCACTGGCATTTGATTGCCTCCACGTTTTGGAGCTCAACATTGTTAGGTAAAGGCATCTGCGAATGGAGATGTTCCTTGATTTCCCTCGCTTTCCTCTCGTTGAGAACAAATTTCTCGCCTTTCTCTAGGGCCACGAAATTTGGCTGTCCGAGTGTCGCCTCGTGGTTCATCGGCTGCGTAGGAACATAGTCACTATCCGCAGAATAACTATGCTGGGGCTGAACCAATTAGTGATTTACATGAGATAGATTGCGTGTGTGCAAGGCTTCGTACCCCGAGCATGCTCTTCAGTCTCTCCAAGATTCGGAGATCTTGGCTCGTGCCTTGAAAGCTGCCTGCCGACATTTGGCGACCCAACGGCGCGTCACCAGTGGCAGCCAATGCTTCAATTGCATCAGGACATTCGATATCATCCGCTCTTCTCACAACATCGCTGTATTTCAGTTGGGCAGGGATCCTCGGTGGAGCTTCCGAACCCTCGCACTCTGGGCCAGTCCATTTTAGAGAGGTTACTCTAAGCCCAACACTATGGCTAGTTAGCGCAGGATCGTCGAGTGGAATGGAGATACACACGTATGCCATCCGCTGTCCATGAAACCACACGACTGAGATTCCTTCCTCCAGTTTGCATCAAAAGGGTATTTAATGGTATCACTTTTAGCGGCGGAGAAGCCTGGGGGTTCGTAATCAGGAGGGCAGTCATCCGTGTAGAACAGGTGTATGCCAAGATTTCGTTTGTCTGCAGACAGTCAGTTGCATGTTGCTGGTTTTACAGAAGGCGCGCTAACTTGGAAGGACTGGAAGAAAGGCACTGAGTGTGATCAGCCGTCGGACGATCGTTTCCAAGCCAACTCTGGCTGTTTGCGCAGATTTCATATCCGCAGTGCATCCAACAGGATCAATTGTTAGGCTCTGAAGGCAGGTGTTCATATTTCCCGACACTCCCGTGTACTTGAACGAAAATGTGTATGATTCGAGTACATTCTCTGGGGCATCTTTGTCGACCAGGATAGTCAATTGGATGGCTTCGAGCACGTTCCTGCGTAAAGCATCGAATATACCAGTTTCCTATTGGTGTCAGACGAAAGAATCCGAGATAGAAAGGCTCCCGCATACCAAAGCGTTTAATATCATGTCAGCCTTGGAATCGGCCCCACGAACGATGACCTTCAGGGGCTGGCCTCTTCTTCCGCTGCCGAACGGGGCTGTTGAACTGCTCTGTGAATCCTCGGGATGGGATGGTTTGTCTATGAACTCCCGATAGGAAAGCTTGTGTTCCTTCTGAGCTTCTTTCAAATCCCGATCCTCGAAGCAAGGTAACGGTAGGAACTCCCTAAGATGTCCGATAAGGAATTTTGCGCAAAGAACGTGGAGAGCCCATCCGCCTACCGAAGATAAAACAAGGTCCCGAACTGGTATGCAACCGGGTTAGACATTCCCCAGCTTGTGGTGTTGTCGGGATGAGTAGGGTACCAACCGAGACATGTAACATGATTTGGACCATCTCCAAACTCTGCTGCTGCTTCAGCGATAGACTCTCCTGGTTAGTTAGTTCTGTGGGCCGTTGGAATTCAGTCCGGTTCTTAGCCTGGACCGAAGATGCACTCTTCGGCACGGTCTTCTGGACCTGCACAGGTTGGACCGCAGCCGGCCCGGTGAATTTGATTCTGACCATGCCGCGAGACGGGGCGGGGGAAGTTTGGTATTGAGTTACGACAGCGCGAAAGGGATGAGAAGGGACTGGCTGCGACAGGGGTGGCTGCAGGACATTGAGATGGTTGGGATTGGAAGAAGAATTAAGGTGGTTTAGTCAGATTGACGACAGCTGGACCTCTGTAGGAAGAAGGGGTCGGGACGGTCACGGGAAGCTCGAGGTGTTCCCGTTTAAGCTTCCAACATGTTCGGAGAGTTACACTCTTCGTGGACCTACCTTTCTATAAAGTCCCACTGATTTATGCAGTCGCGTACGATTTGGTGAATTTGTTTCTACGATTCGACGTTATGACTTCGAGTTGAGTTCTCTGCGAGACAAGTCTGACTGTAGTAACATCATTTTACTCGCACAGATTTCAATCCTACAGAATCCAGCGTCCTTACTCGACAGTCCAGAGTATACAATTGATTGAAGCCATCGTCAGCCTGTCTTATAGCGGGGCAACGGCAGATGGCGGCAGATGGTGCGGCCGCTACCTAAATATAGAAGCGGACGGCTGTCAGACGTTCAAGAGGGATTCGAAGGCGACATCTCGACGAAAAAGGGTTGCTAAAAAAGACCGCGGCAGAGTAATACTGGATGGTAAAGCAACAGGTTATGGATGTCCCTTGGAAGAGACAGCATCGGTTCGAAACAATCGATAAGGAAAGGATCCGTGGTAAATGAGATTACGACCCATCACCAGTGGATTATCTCATCTCTTCCCCGCATTCACACTGGAACAACACCGAGAGGATAAGCGCCTGGGGTTTGGCCGGATTTCTAACGCTGTCGAGCGGGAATCCAATCAATCAACCTCGATCGTGCGAGTGATGTCGGACTACCTAGGTAGGTAAGCAGGTAGATCTCTCAACCCAGAACGACTTTTCAGCTTTTGACGGCTGGAGAGTCATTGGTCTGGCTGTCCGACGGGCATCAACCCCCGACCCACCCGCAACCATCACGTGTGCGGTGGCAAAGATACGGCCCATCGTGGGCATTTCACTGAAGGGATGACGAGAGCCCAAATTTTTTCCATCGGACTTCCGCCAGGGTCAGAATCGGGGTTCCACTTTAGGTACATGCGGTGGTCAATCAGTTTGAGAGGTGTTGCTTTGATGAATGAGAGGATGTTACCTAATTCGATGTGAAATCCACGCGAGGATGATATATAAATTACGACAGATTTCCACTGAAACTGATAGCGTGGAAGGCTGATAACGGGGCCGTCCTATCTTGATAAACAAGTTGGAAGTAGGTAGTTATATATCGCTTCATCCATGTGATTGTTTGGTAACAAATTCGGTCCGTCCTGGTTGTCCCCCCACCTTCCAGTCCACCTGCATCCTTGGAGACGGACGGTCTCCATCTTGTCCCTAGGTACCAACCTGTCGTTGATCGAGATTCCAAGGTCCCCCGAAGGGGTATGTATCTTATGCACGGAGTACGGAGTAGAGACGGGTTCTGAAAATGTCCCAAGCGTCCACCTGGTTTTAGCCTAGAAAGGAAAAAGCCAGGACGTCGCCTTTGCAGCTAACGAGGAAGTTCCCTGTTTTCTCATCGTCCCGCCATTATTATCAAGGATCAACAAGGGAATTCTTCTTGTTCCTGGGGGAATAGGTGAAGGGTTATGTGACTTCATCGGATGTAGAAAGATGACCTTGATCGAATGACCGCATGAAGGAACATATGAGGACAGAATTAGGTACATAAGATAATCTTCCCTGCGGGGGAACGAGAAATCCTAAAGATGGAAGAAAGTCTCGGGGAGGTTTACCTCAGCTGGAGGTAAGGGAAGAACTGGGAGGTATCGGTACGGTATCCGTATCAACCAAGGGAAAACCCGTCAGAGGGAGGCACGACCAACCACCTCTCCGCCGCCCAACATCCTCCTCCTCCCTGTCAGCAGAACACGCCACGGCCGCCGTCCTTTCTTCGCTCTGTCCCCTCGTGGCTTTCTGCTCTCCTTCATTTCTCCTCCTCCTCCATCCCTTTTCCCTTCTTCCTCTTCTTCGATTTACCCTCTTGTTCATCAAACTCTCCCCTCCTTCATAATGTTCTAACCGATCTCTCTCCCCGTGTGGCCCGTCAGATGCTTTTGTCCGTCTTGTATCGCCCTGACGGCCCTCATCGACTCCCGGCTAGTTTCCCCAGCTCGAGGCCTGCCGGCTTCGCGAACAACCGCCCACTTACTCTCCCTGGGTATCACCGGCTGGGGATGATTAACGATGTCCTCGCAAGTCCCTGTTCCTATAGAAGTCGCCGAACCGGACGCGTCGTCATCCCAGAGCATTTCCACTCGACAAGTCCCATATCCCCCCTCTCAGCAATACACCATGGGTGATCTCAACAACAGTGGCCCTGACCATGGGCCAGCCGCCAACTCGGTCGGGTTGTTGTCGTTTGCTCCTGCTACTCGAACAACTGTCGTCACCACCACAACGACCACAACCACAACCTTTCCACCACTGCTCATGAAACCGCCTCGGGCGACGCGACATCTGGACCCCAAATTATATCCCTTGGCTTCGTCTTCGACCCCATCGTCGCTGAGAAACTTCAAGTTTGAACTTGGTGGACAGTCCGTCGTTTTTAGTGAGCCAGAAGACACTACAGGCACCCTCGAGGAGGTACGTATCCAGTCGTGTGTTAAACCAGTGATGTAACCCATCCAAGGCTAACGTGTCCTCTACCAACCAGCTAAATGAGAAGAATCACGCGCTGAAATCATCTAACGGCGTCGTTCGGTCCATCACGTCATTCAGTTCAGATGATACTAAACTGCCTCAGCGCTTCGCCCCTCCGAGAGTGTCGAAGCACCCTTCCAACCACCCTTCAACCTCGAAACGCCGTGTCTTGCCGTTGGCGGAAACACAACACGGTTCAGTGCGGACGCATCCTATCAGGATACCATCAGAGCCATCCCTTCGTCCTGGCCGTTCCCATGGGCTCACCCCTAAGGATCCCGCCTCCCCTGGCCTAGCAACTCCTGAAAACGGAGGGCAGTGGTTACAGCGCTGGGGAGACTGTCATCCCCCAAAGACGAGTCCAGAGTGCCAATACCTCTCGTAGGGAGGCCTTGCTACGATCACCACTGTCTTCCGAAGTCGAATCTCAGGAGAGCCTGTATTCCAGGAAAGAACAGCTACGTAACAAGGCTATGTTGTCAGAGATAAATAGACGGTTCCCGCGCCCGGAGACTCGAGCAGGCAAGCCGACACTCTTACATGGCCCATCCGAAGTTGAAACCGAGAACGGACTGGCGGCTGCGGGCGCGAGTCAAGATACTGGGTATGGCACGGCAGAGGAAGCTTCCCAGCAGACCCAGATAGAGCCGATGTCTCAGATCTCAAGTTTTGGTGCCGTTGGGACCCAGGATATGTGCTTGCCCAGCCCTAGCTTGTCCCCAGTAGCTGCTATGAACGCCCTGAATGCCGAATCTTCTTTCGATTCGGCCGAAGAACCAGAAATGGATACCGACTCGAGCTTTGATAACCACGATGCGCGGTTTCCGAGCTTACGTGTGGACACCGTCAAATCGTCAAAGCACAGCGTACCGCCTCCTAAGGACCTGGCCCGCCCTTCATCCTTGATGGACATTCCCAACGTCCTGGACTTTTTCGACTCTGTTCCTGACGGCATGAAGACATACCTTATGTACCAGTTACTGAGGCGATGCCCCAAACCGACTCTCCAATTTGTCGCAGACGTTGTGAATCCCGCGTTGAAATGCGATTTCTTGGCTCTTTTACCGCTTGAGCTCAGCTTGAATATTGTCAAGTACTTTGATGTACAAACTATGTGTCGCGCTGCGCAAGTTTCCAAGAAATGGCGACATATAATCAACTCTGACGAGAAAAGCTGGAAAGAGTTGTTTGACAGGGATGGGTTTGTCCTCCCAGAAGGGGAGTTGGAGCGCGCAATCAAAGAAGGCTGGGGTTGGCAATTTCCGAATGGCAGTGAAGATTTCGAACGGGATCTGAGTCAGTCGGCCTTAATTAAGTCTGAGCCAGAGACTGCGGCTACAACATCCCTGGCTGGACCAAGTGACAGGCCTTCTTCGGGGCATCGTCGACCCAAACGGAAGGCTTGTGGCCGTACCTCAAGTCGGAAATACGCCAAGCGGAAGATCTCATCTAGTGGCACTGATCACTCTGATTCTGATTGGAAGAAGGATGTCTCTGCAACAGAGGGACCATACGCCGCTGCAAATGCTGCGGCAGCTGCTGTACCATACCCAGATGTTGGCTTGCCATCACTTCGCGGTCTCCACCTCTACAAATCTCTGTATCAGCGGCACCATTCCATCCACAAAGGCTGGATTAGACCAAACGTCAAGCCGAGACACATCGCGTTTCGAGCCCACGATCGTCATGTTGTTACCTGCCTTCAATTCGATACCGATAAGGTGTTGACTGGAAGCGATGACACAAATATCAACGTGTACGACACCAAGACCGGCATGTTAAGGGCGACGCTGGAAGGCCATGAAGGTGGAGTCTGGGCTCTTGAGTATTATGGAAATACTCTCGTCTCCGGATCGACTGACCGGTCTGTACGGGTCTGGGATATTGAGAAAGCAAGATGCACTCAAGTTTTCCATGGGCATACCTCGACAGTCCGATGCTTGCAGATCGTGTTACCTGTTGAGGTGGGCAAAAAGGCGGACGGTTCCCCTGAAATGATGCCTAAAGAGCCGTTGATCATCACCGGCTCCCGCGACTCAAACCTGAGGGTGTGGAAGCTTCCAAAACCCGGCGACCCCACCTACCACCAGAGTGGGCCACATGTTGACGACACTGATTGTCCCTACTTTGTCCGCGTACTTACCGGCCACGGGCACTCTGTGCGTGCGATTGCAGCTCACGGGGACACTTTGGTGAGCGGCAGCTATGATTGCACCGTCCGAGTGTGGAAGATCTCTACAGGCGAGACTCTTCATCGACTTCAAGGTCATAGTCTGAAGGTCTACAGTGTTGTCCTTGACCACAAGCGGAATCGCTGTATCAGTGGGTCCATGGATAACATGGTCAAGGTGTGGTCCTTGGATACTGGGTCAGTCTTGTACAATTTAGAGGGCCACACGTCCCTGGTCGGTCTCCTTGACCTTAAGTGTGATCGGTTGGTTTCGGCGGCTGCAGATTCAACCCTTAGAATTTGGGACCCGGAGACTGGCCAGTGCAAGAATATGTTGAGCGCGCATACTGGCGCTATTACTTGTTTCCAGCATGACGGTCAGAAGGTCATTTCGGGATCCGACAGGACACTGAAGATGTGGGATGTCCGCACTGGGGAGTGCGTGCGAGACCTCCTTACCGATCTGAGCGGTGTATGGCAAGTCAAATTCAATGACAGGAGATGTGTTGCTGCTGTGCAGCGTGATAGCATGACCTACATTGAGGTGAGTATTCCCATTTTGATCGGCGCCTTTCAGAGACTAATCCTGCCACTAGGTTCTTGACTTTGGGGCTTCTCGGGATGGAGTCCCTGAAGACCAGTTAGGACGACGAATAATCGTTGATCGAGAGGGCCATGAAGTCAGCGATGCTGACGAGGATTACGATCTTTCTGATGCCTAGTATCATTCTACCCATTCCCTTGACCGGGACTCATCGCCGAACAACAGGGAACGGCGTTTCTGTTGACATAGTTACACCCTGGACCATTTACGATACCCACATGGAATTGTTTATAATTATGAGGATTTGCATAGCGCGGTTGGCATACTTTGATCTGCACAGAATTTCACGATGACCGGCGTTGTGGCATCCAAAATGGAATCTTATTTATGAACCTTATCTTCTATCTTACTAGGTCTTTTGATGCTCTATCTCATTCCATGTTCCTTAGCTATGTTCCTTAGCCTGCATACTGAGCTTGTGTGTTTTAGTGATGGGATAATAGACTCGCCACGGTCTAGCGTTATTCTGGTAGGGGCGGCATAAGCACCGCGTTGCCATTCCTATAAGCCTTGAGACCAATAGCCCCGAGAGGTGCTCACGAGGACGTAGCAACATACGGGAGTTGGCGAAGATGGCCTATATGGCTGGCCGGCAGAGACCTGCCCTCGTTGTATCCCAAGGTGATGGGGGTTCTATGCTTTTCTATATTCTGCCAACATGGCTGGCCCATCAGTTGACCAGCAGTTCTTTGCCATGGGGCTCGCCGGTGGGTTGGGAAATGCGAGTCGACACAGGGGAGTCCTCTGACGGATCCTTGTCGTGAATAGTAGAGTCTTCTGGCACATATATGCGAAGACTCATCTGCTCAGGACGCAGCAGCAGACGATTCAGAAGACGCAAGCTCAGGCCTGGCCTCCACGTTCCCGTCGAAACCAGCAGCCGAAAGTATCGCCCAGCGCACCCCGCTGATTCCCAGAGCGCGGCCTGGCTCGACGGGCGTTTCCGCGCTACAGGTGACGATTTCACCCAACGCACCGGGGCCTTCTGACCGGCCGACGGGCTGCACGATCGGCCGCAAATCCTGTAGCAAAGTTCTCAGCGCGACAATATTGGCGGCCGATGCGCCGCTCTTCACCTGGCTCTTTTTTTTCGCCAGGACCTTGTCGACCTTGGAGAGAATCACTTGGTGAGGGATGGCGTATTTCCGGAATAGCATGAGGATATCTGCGTCGCTCTGTTTGATACCGTGTAGGCTGTCGATGAGGAGGAATGCCCGGCGGAGTCTGAACGAGGGCGTGTTAGCATGCACAATCGCGAGATTTTGCCGAAGCAGAGTCCAAGACGAAGACATACTGTTTCCTCCCCTGGAGATATTTCATGATCTCGACCCCCCACTCCGTCCGACTCGCCTTCCCGTACCCCGGCATATCAAGCAACACGATCTTCGACTCACCCCCCTTGGTGCCGCCGATTCCAAACGCGTTCATCTCTCGCGTGCGCCCCGGCTTCGACGATGTCCAGCACATCTCCTTGCCCATGACAGCGTTCAGCAGCGAGCTCTTCCCGACGTTCGAGCGGCCCAGAAACGCGACCTCCGGCTCCGACGACGACAGCGGCGTCGTGCGGAACTTGCTGGCTGACCATAGCTTGACCGGGGAGTGGCGCGACGGACTGAAGAATTTGTCGGCGTAGACGAGGCGTTGTTCGTCGGGCACTTGCGTGTCCCAGTAGTAGGATAGATCGGCGGGTGTGAGGTCGCGGAGTTGCAGTTTGTTCGGGTTGCGCGCTGGGGGTGCGGTCGTGGTCGAAAGCAGCCGTCGGGAGAGGAGAGGCTGGTAGGCGCATGCGCCGCATATGGGCAGCTTGGTCTTCATGGTTATGTGCATCAATTATGGGAAGTGGGAGCGGAGCGCAAAGTTCTGGTCGTTCTGGTACCTGGTTGAGGTTCCAGCATCGGCCCGGATCAGCAGGTTATCCGAGGGCGTGTCAGCCGCTCCGACAGATAAGACAACCAGCTGTACAATACCCTCACCTCTTCCTGTCGCAGTCCGCGCAGCTCTCCAGGCCCTCCCGACACCATGATCAACGCCGTGCTCGTGTTCAACAACAACGGCCAGCCGCGTCTGACCAAGTTCTACACGCAAATTGTACGTAAGCCCAGTGGCGGACGACCACAACGGACGAACCTCCCGACGGTCGATCAAAGGCTAACAAATCCCTCTTTCTTTTCCCCGCGGGCTCACAGGATACACAAACGAAACAATCCCTCATTGCGCAAATCTACGATCTCGTCGCCCAACGCCCACCCAGCGCCTGCAACTTCCTCCCGCTTCCCCCGCTACTCGCGCGCGGCGCCAGCTCCAGCGCCGAGAATGGGCCCTCGGACGCCCCGACGCAGGTGACCTACCGGACGTATGCGACGCTCTCGTTCATCATGATCTCGACGTCGACGGAGTCGCCGCTGGCGCTGATCGACCTGATCCAGGTGTTTGTCGAGGCGCTGGACCGCATGTTTGAGAATGTGTGCGAGCTGGATCTCATCTTCGGGTATGAGACGATGCATGCCGTGCTGAGCGAGATGATTGTTGGCGGCGTCGTGGTGGAAACGAACATTGATAAGATTGTCGCCGGGGTGCGCAGTCAGGAGGGCTCGATGGGGAAGAAGAGAGCCATTCAGGCGGCGAGCTCGGGGGTTGGACGTGGGGGGTTGCCTGGGCTTGGGGCATGGCGGTGATTGCTGTACTATGTGCTTGGGTTTGTGGGAGAATTTGGTTCTCGGCAGGCAATGGGCATGGCGTTTTGGTCTGGAGTTACGGTTTATTGGCTGTGGCCATGGCAATTAATCGCATGGTTGTCGCATATATACCTTTCAGAATGTGCATTTCTTTATGGCCTATCACTTTCGAGTCGAGAGTGTCGGGCAGGTGGTGATCCGACATCCCGTTCGCAGTCAGCATAATAAGCGCATGACTCTATCACTTTAATATACAAGTAAGGCGGCATCTACGGCGCGTATTGGGGCAAAATCAAAGTGGGTGAAGTAGAGGGCACATCCACGCTAACAAATCATAGGGTAGAAGGTGCAGCACCGGCAAATTCGATCCGTTTGTTTGAAACAATGACCCTCGTCCCGTCCGAGTTCTAAACCGGTTGTTAGATGCTAAAGGGTTACATTTCGTTGAGATGAACACGCAATGTCCTGCCACCCTGTATGCATTCAATATTCCATCTATCACATTTGCCCGAGTGGTCTGATAGATTCAGGATTGGGATATTTCTCCCACTGCGACGGTCGACCACATATCCCTGCGGGTGTTGTACCTGTGAAAGTAATTGACGTCCGCTGAGTATACTGCGAAGCGGACGCGACGAACACGTTTTCGTCGTGGAGTGTAAGTGTTGTGTTGATAGACGATGCTCAGATATATATCATCCACGTCAGATGACTGACGCTCGCTACCGCTTCGAATATGGCTGCAGAGAGAGGGGACGGACGGACTGGTATACCGAGCAATCACTTTCCGGTATATTTCTCTCGACATACCCCTGCTTTACCAGGGAGACCCTGACGAGGTTGCATTGGCATCGTTTGTCAGCGGATCTCGCAACGTTCAACGCCCGAAGGTCTTCTTGTCCCGCGAGATGATCCACTGCAACTGCAGCAATAACGATAACAGGCATAGTCTGGTCTGTCGGCCAGAACCGCGACAGGGCGGACCCTCCATGCCTGCTCCACATGGCTGACGGACAGCGGGACACGAGTCATATCCTCGTCTAAAGTCCCGATCATGCCAGCGTAAGTTCCACGGGGGATGGAGTGTTCTCCAACTCTTGTTTCATCCAACGGTCTATGATAGGCCATTGTGTGACATTCTTGATCACCTTCACTCCCTCCCACGCCTCATCCAGCGCTGGTTGGGGGTCAGAAGATTTGCTGGCTCGTGTCGCTGCCCCTCGGTGATCGGCAGTGGAGGCCCTCGTCTGCAGATGCTGGCCACTAGTAATAATGGCCCCCTCACATTGGCGGCGTCGGCTTTTACCAAGTCGCGATATGTCCGATCTTGCTCGCTCGGGCTCGGGCATGGTCGTCGCGGACTGTCTGACTTCTGGCCAAGCGTGCAGCTGAACAGGGTAGATGTTGCCCTGGTGATCTCTCGGGGAGACTCAGGCCGGGCAGAGGCCGATTGGGTGATTGACAATCCCCTGGCTCCATGAGGTCGATGGGTCCTCTGACACTGGGCGTGGGAGGTTGTTGATGGGGAGGAGGTCGATCCTTTTAAGGTCAACTCGGACTATTTAAAGTGCCGCTGACACCATCAGGTCCCCCGAATGTCGCCATCCATTTTTCATCTGATTGATCAGTCCACAGACACTACGCCCAAAGCTCCCTAAGCTACCCCTACGTTCTGTTCAAAATGACTGGCCCGGAACCTCCTCGCCGAATCCTTCTCGTCAGCAGCCCGCGCACTGCATCCAACCTGCTCTTGCGGATCCTCAACCTGAAAGACCAGCCCCACGCGCTCACCAACGAAATCGGCGGCTACTTCTTCTTCCCTGCGTTCACAACCTCCGCCAAGGACGGCCGGCTCGCCAAAACGCGCGACCAATGGACCGACGAAGACCGCAAAGATGTGCAGTCCGCATACCAAGTGTGCGTGGACCAGCTGGAAGATTGGAGCGCGCGCGCGGCCAAGGAAGACAAGATCTTGTTCGCAAAGGAGCACGCCTTCTGGATCTTTGACCCGACATCCATCCACAAGTTAGGGGCCACCGCGTGCGGCGCCGGCGAGGCCGCTAATGGAAACAAGCAACATGAGCCCCTCTTCCGGCTCCAGTTCCCCAGCTCCTACGGCGCCTGCGACACGTGGTCGGATCCGAACGAAACCGCTCTGCCGGACGAGTACCTGCGCACGTGGCGTATGGCCTTTATCATTCGCCATCCAGCCTTGATGTGCGCGTCCTTCTACCGTGCCATGAAGAAGATGATCCGCCTGGGAATTCTGAAGGAGGACGAGTTGCCTGCTGTGTTTGCGACGAACATGTCCTTCCAGTGGCCGCGGATGCTATATGACTGGAGTGTGGCACAGGGAATTGCGGGGTTGAAGCCGTTGATCCTAGACGCCAACGACGTGATTCACAACCCAGAGGTGGTTGTGAAATTCAGCGAGCAGATTGGGCTGGACTCGAGCAAATTGGTTTTTGAGTGGGAGGCCAACAAGCCCAAAAATGAGAATGGATCACAGCAGAACGGTGCCCATGAAAATGACACCCAACGAGCCGAGGGCCCCAAGGACAACGCGTCAAGTAGTTTTGAACGACTGCAGGATTTCAAAAACGAGGACGCCAAACAAATCATGTTGGGCAGCTTGACCGCATCCTCCGGGGTGTTAAAGGAGAAAGCCCCAGAGACGGTCGACATTGCGGCCGAGGCCACCAAGTGGAAGGAGGAGTTCGGCGAGGAAGGTGCCTGCATGGTGGAGAAGGCTGTTCGGGCAGCGATGGCGGACTACGAGTACCTGAAGGAGCGACGAGTGAGGGCTTAAACATGTCAAATAGTCGATGATCTGTTCTATACCTGTACTTTTGCATCCCACTGTAGTTAATATTACCACGTGACCTATGAGATTGATAAGATTACTTCGGATGTTTGTCTCGCTGACACTATTTATCTAGTCTGAATCGGGAAAGGTCTCGCATGCAGCGGCGTTAGGGCTAGCCCTAGTCACATGAGACACCATCGGGCGACAGGTTGTTCCGTCACTAGCGCGGCCCACAAGAGCGACGGCGCCATTTTCTTCTCAACACCGAAATTCGACTTCTTCGTTTCTTTCTTTCCTCTCCGTCAATCCCGTCACCCAACGTCGCAACGGATACCAGTCGACAAAATGGTAAGCATTTAACATCCAGTGTCCTTGCATTAGCATTGCGATATACGCAACCTCCCTTCGTGAGAAGGCGAGAAGCTTCGACTACTGCGAACATGTCCTGAGGACACCTCGTGGCATTTCGCACGTAGCGAGGCACATTCCGCTGGTCGCACGCATCCTCTCTCGGATATCTCCAAATGCACGGAGAAATCCCATTTGCGAGTTGTCGGGCAGAGGATGCGAGTGCTGGTGATGATTTGGCTGGAGGCATCAGCGGGACTAGTCGGGTGAAACCACTAACACCGCTGGTGTTCTCTTAGAGTTCAAGGAAGATGCAGCACAATGGTGGACACGATTTGCTGATCTTCTTTTCTCAATGACAGCCCGCCAAGTCCGGAAAGAAGACTGCTCCCCTTCCTTACCCCCAGGGTAAGGCTGGTGCTAGCAAGAAGGGCCCCAAGGTATGTACCACTTCACTTGTTCTCATGTAAATCAGCTCGGTACTAATATCTGCATAGAACCCTCTGATCGAGAAGCGCCCCCGCAACTTTGGCATTGGCCAGGACATCCAGCCCAAGCGCAACCTCGGCCGCTTCGTTAAGTGGCCCGAGTACGTCCGCCTTCAGCGCCAGAAGAAGATCCTCAACCTCCGCCTGAAGGTTCCCCCCTCGATTGCCCAGTTCCAGAACACCCTGGACCGCAACACCGCCGCCCAGACCTTCAAGCTCCTCAACAAGTACCGTCCTGAGACCAAGGCCGAGAAGAAGGAGCGTCTCCACGCCGAGGCCACCGCCGTTGCCGAGGGCAAGAAGAAGGAGGACGTCTCCAAGAAGCCCTACCACGTCAAGTACGGTCTCAACCACGTCGTCGGTCTGGTCGAGAACAAGAAGGCTTCTCTCGTCCTGATCGCCCACGACGTTGACCCCATTGAGCTGGTTGTCTTCCTTCCCGCTCTCTGCCGCAAGATGGGTGTCCCTTACGCCATTGTCAAGGGCAAGGCTCGTCTGGGTACCGTTGTCCACAAGAAGGTAAGCGTCATGCTTTTCTCGTAACTTGCCATCCGCATACTAATTCCATCACTAGACCGCTGCTGTCCTCGCCCTCACCGAGGTCCGCTCCGAGGACAAGGCCGAGTTCACCAAGCTCCTCTCCGCTATCAAGGAGGGCTACACCGACAAGTACGAGGATGCCCGCCGCCACTGGGGTGGTGGTATCATGGGTGCCAAGGCTGTCGCCCGCCAGGAGAAGAAGCGCAAGGCCGTCGAGGGTGCCATCAAGATCTAAACTAGTGAATAACTAGTTTTGTTTCCTTCTTGACGGGCTCTAGTCGACGACCTTGATGACAAAAAGTTCCTTTTTGTGACCATTAACTGGGGGTATTATATCCGGTGTTACGGCTTTATACTTGTTGATGGCATAATAGCTTAGATGGGTGGAGAGCTTTTGGCACCCCGATCCTAAGAATCCCAATCCATCTTGATGGTCCATCTGTTCTCTTTAGTTACGTTTTATGTACCCCCTGCAGATACCCATGAATGCATTTCAAGACATCACTACAGGCCCAATGTAGTTGCAAGATCCTAGCATTCATGAGAGTCTGCACTGTAGAAACTGTAGACATACCCCTCTGCTTAATCCCAGCATGAGTTGAGTCTCAATACGCCAGATGTTATTCCCTCATTTCAACTGAACCATTCGTTATCCCTCCGTCTTCCCACATGAATCGTCAATACAGTACAAACCCATGTTGTGCATGGGACCTAAATATCTATACAAGGCATAGCGGTAGTGGTAGCAACCCAGCCAGATGCATAACAGAAACCAAATGATCCCCTCAACCCATCTTGGATGCCCTCCAATAAGTACACCGTCCTGAGGACCAAGCAATTAAAACATAAAATTGAGCTAGCCAGCTCGCCCAAACAAACCCCGTCAACCATGGTAGGTTGAGTGTAAACATCAAGAAACAAAGGAAAAGAACGAAAGGCAAAACTGGAAGGTGGAAAAAGAAAAAGATTTTATAATCATTGATCATTAACGTGGTTGCCGGGAAAGACCTTGTCGAGCCTGAGGTTCATGTCAGTGGGATGGATTTACGCTATGAGATCCATGCATCCAACGTACCTTCATCTGTTCGATGCGTGCCTTAAGTTGACTTGTAACTTCAGCAGCCCGCTTCCAATTCTCAGCGGGCTCGCCGCTTCGCGCGGGCTGGTCTTCGCCAGAGGCACTGCCTGATCCCAGCGCAGATGATCGAGTAGGACTGCCCATGCCCGAGTAGCCGGTGCCGTATGAGGGGCTGAACTTCCGCCGTCCGAAGCCTCCATCTCTGCTCCCTAAGCCAGGAGACTCCAGGCCGTTGTTCTCTTTCTCTTCGCTAGGACTCGCTGATGCGTAACTCCGTGGCCGACTGCTATCAAACCGCGAGCCCATGTGGAGTCCGGACCGTGGGACTCCGCTGTAGCCATTGCTGCCAGGGTCCTGGTAAACGTTCGTCTCAGGGAAGCCCATGTTGACGCCATCAGGCACAGTGTTGGGAGGGCTCATAGCGCTGGCACGAAGAGCTCGGGCCAACTCACGCTTGAGCCGCTCGATCTCGCGCTGCTGTTTCTGGACAGTCTGCTCAGCGGCCTCAGCATCGCTGCGTGCCCGGACCAACTGTGTCTCTTTAGCCTTGATGCCCAGAACATCCCTCGTGTGATCTTCGATCAGCTGCGCGTTTTGGTTCTGCAGTTCGGTCACCTGAGAGTTCAGTTTTGTCCTCTCCGACTTGAGATCTTCCACCATTCGCGTGAATCGCTCCTTCTCAAGACGCAGCTCTTCCAACTCCGCACGCTCAACGGCAGATATCCCACTCACTGGAGGCGCAGCCGCCGGTGCAGGCGCAGGTTCGGTAGCAGGAGCGGGCTTCGCTATCGGGCGACCTGCAAGTCCTCGGCCCAGACCGAACTTGGGAGCAGCAGGGGCGGGCGGCTGTTCCTCCGAAGGGGGCGAAATGACTCGGCGCTGGGGTGACGCCAGACCTCCTGGGCCACCAAGTTTCTTTTGCAGTTTGAGACCGGAGCCGGGAGTAGGCAGGCCACCGGACTTGGGAGGTCCAGCAAGTTTCGACGGAATTGATCGGGGCTTTGCTGGGGAGGGAGCGGCGGGCTCCTCTACGGGAGGAGGGGGAGCTGCTGCAGCTGCAGGCTTCTTCATTCCTAGAGTCGGTTTCTTCATTCCACCCATGGGCTTCTTAGCGGCTGCGGGAGCAGGTTTAACGATGGGCTTGGGCCGGTCTTTCGCCTTGACTTCAGCAGTCTCGTAGAATTCCTTGATCTTCGTCTTGCGGATATCATCAAGTCCCTCAAGGTACGGGTTCATAGCCCGCTCGCCCATGATCTTCATCAATGTACCAAGAATCTCGGCTCCACCGGCACGGTTAACCTCTGTAGATTCAGTCAGAAGTTTGGTAGCCGCATCGGCGATAGATTTGACTTCGGCTTTCGAGGGCACATCCCTTGTGGTGCGAAGACAGCGGATGAGAAACTTCAGCGTTTCCTGCTTCACTTGAGGGTTCTTGTGCTTGAGGAATTCAAGGGTTTCATCCAGACAATCTGACAGGCTAGTTGCAGTGAAGATGGCGTCCAAGGCCTGACCCAAGGCTTCCGAGACACTCTGCTTCTTCTCCTTAAGACGCTCCATGATCGGCGCCATGACCGTCGCGCGGTGCTTCGCAAACCCGCTACGAAGTCCCTTCGCCAGCAAATCAATGCAGTTCGCCGCGACCGTTACGACTGCGACGTTAGCGTCCTTCATGCACTTCGCCAGCGCCGCGACGATATCGTTGAACGGGCCATCCTTGATCCGGGGTACATTCAAAGCCGCATACAGCGCATCGAGGGCTTCTTTCCTATCCTTCCACTTCGACGATGCTAGCTGGTCCAGCAGGTCTTTGGGAATCTTGGACATGACGTCCACCGGTTCTGCAAGATCGAAGACGTCGACTTCACCACCATCTTCTTCCGCATATTCCTCGCCCTCTTCCTCACCGCCGCCCGTTTCTGGGGCAGCACTGGCGGCGGCCATCGCATCTTGCTGTGCTTTCGTGAGCCGCTCTTGCTTCGGCGGGGGCTCCTGTTTTACTCCTTCGAAAAGTTTCTCGAGGTCCTGTTGTTGAACAGGTTTCAGGTCACCCCAGAAGAGGGGCTTGATGGCCTCTTTCAGCCAACGATAAAGCTCGACAGTGAGATTCTGCGCCTCAGCTCGGACATTCTTATCGGCATGACCGAAAACCTTCGGCAGGGCTTTCAACACGGGTTTGGGGTCGACGATCTTGCAACCGAAGTTATGGTAGATAGCACGCAGGCCTGCGAGAGTCGCGGCGATGACCTTGGGCGTTTTATGCGACAGTCCTGGCAGAATCTCTTCAATCACGGGGTCGGCCTTGTCAATTTCGACACATAGGAGCAGCGCCTCGATGGCGCTCTGTTTCGCAGCCGGTCGCGTCGATGGGAGGCCCTTCTCGACGATGGGGTATACGGTAGTCGCGCGGGTCCTTTATAGCCCGTGTCAGCAGCCCAATGATAAAAACGCTTACAGGCTAGTGGAACATACCTCGCGCAGGCTTGAACACCGCCAAATTTCAGGAACGAACAGTATGCCCCAAGACCCTCTTGTTGGGCAGCAACGTTGGAATCGGCCACGGCACCCTTCCACAACCCGGGGTCTTGGATGAACGGCGTGAAGACGGGATCGGATTCATCCGGAGTCTTCTCAAACTGTTGCCTGGCGTCTTCGTAGCCTTCCTTGCGGACTTTCCAGTTCTGTGACCGTCGACGGGAGCACTGATCAGTACGCGTGGGGTATGGCGGGGTGCGAGATCAACAGTCGACGAGCGGGCTCACCTTGTGGGAAAAACGATCGGGTAATGGCAGGGAAGAAAAATCCTCCTCTCCGTCAGCCATTATGACGGGTTAGTGTGTGCTGGAAGAGATGGGCGATTAGCGATGTCTGGAAGCGTAAAGGCGTGGGGGTTTGCGACTTGTCAGGCCGGAGAAGTGAGATTTGGAAGTGGTGCCTGAGCCGGACTCTGACCGGAAAATCCCTTGCAATATCGAAAGAAGCGATCCGGCAGTCCGCCGCAGTTTGTATATACTTACGTAGTTTCAGTGTGTGTGCGTATGCAGATGGGGTCCGAGGTTCACCCGGAGAAGTGCCAGGAGGTTGACAGCGGGCAAACAGGTTCAGAAGATATCAAGAAGATGTCACTCGCAAAGACAAAGTGAAAAGGAAAAATTCTCCCACGCGAACCATGGGAAATCGAACAAACGGGGAGCGAGAGGGGACGGAGGAAGATGAAGTCGAGCGGGAGCGAAGAGTAAACAACGGATAAGTCGCTGGGGTGACTTGGCCGAAAGGGGAAAAGGGCTTGGCACGCACTGCAGCCTTATTCATGTCCTGGTCATATGTGTGCCTTATATGAAGTCCCTTTCACTACCAAGACAGAATATAAAATATATTCATACGTATAGTTGCTTTCAGTATGCAGTATAATACAATGATTCTAACCTTCTTCCGGGAAGATAACCAGATTGTAGACCCAAACAATCATACAAGAAACCAAGTCGCACCGCACCAACAAGCATCCACAGACCCCTAAGCAACACCACCAGTTCTCTCATAAACCAGCCGACGAATGCGACCGACATGCTCCTTTGGCCCCATCTGCGCGCCGGCACCCTCCTCCAACCGCCGGGCCTCTCTGCGCTCCCACTTGGCGGCGCGCTTCGCCGCACGCTCAGCATCGCGCTCCTCCCTCGTCATCACCGGCGGTCTCTCTTCGATGGCCGCGCCAAAAGGCGCAATAATCCGCTCTACCACATGACGCACATGCCGGCTCTTGGGGTATCCGGACGAGAACTCGATGACGTCGCCCTCGCGCAGAGAGTTCCGCGGGTCCGAGACCAGATACGACGTGATCTTTGGGTACGTCTTGCGAAGGTACGGGTCCCAGGTGGTGTGACGGTGGCTCACGCGGACGGTGCGGTCCATGCGGCCGACAGAGACCACGGTGCCCGTCTTCACCGTGTAGGGGTAGCTGCGGAGAGAAGGAGGCACGACCGGGGGGTTGGTCGCGGACGATGGGGTGGGCTGCTGAGTTGCCGACGACTCGGTGGTGGCAGTCGTGGAGTTGAATCGCGAGCACACCGTCGTCGTGAGTCTTGATCGGGTGGTGGCCTGGAACGCCTGTGCCGTTGTCGAGGTGGTTGCGGTGGATCTGAGGAGGGAAGACCGCAGGGGCTGCATGGCCCGGAAGAGATGGCTGGGAGACATCTTCCTTCGGAGTAAACGTAAAAGTAAGGTGTATTTTTGGAAGGATTTCCTGTCTCTTCGAAGAGGTCGCAAGTTCGGACTGGTGATCTCGGAGGCGCGGTCCTGTCGATATCGGATGATAGGATTAAGAGACAGATAAGACTCGTGGTTTGACGGGATAATCGGAGAGGCAAATAAATTGAGCACTGTGCACGGAAACTGCAGCAGTAGACCCCTGTGTGTTGTTGGAGCCTGCGATGCCTGCTGGGGGAGGGTTGGCACGACTCGATGCCGCGGAAGTCATCCAAGAATTTCTCTCGGGTGTTTGCACTGTTTGCACGTGGTCTATATTTCGTACAATCTGCAACATGAGGAACTCTTGCGATCCTATGGACTCGCTGAGGCTGAAAATTATTGGAATGTCTTAGAGACCATTATTGTTATTGATGAATATCGAGCTTCAACTTCAGGTAGCATAGTCCGAAACAAACAACAAGTCAATGCGCCTTATACTCTGTACACAACACCCTTGACCATACATCATAGTACATACCTACCTATCCAGCACCGAGCCCTGGACAAGTAATTATTCTCATCATATTTCCAAATAGATAGCCATTAACAAATGCAAGCATAAATCATAAAAGCATTCGCCGCGCCCTTGCTCATAGACCGAAAACATATACGTGTATTCTAACCATTCATTCATGCACTTCCCAGCCCGTTGCTGGAGTTTCCAGCTCCAAGACTAGATCACTGAGGAATCAGATTGCCTTCATCGGAGACACTCGCGCCGTTAACTACGTCAGCATTGCCAACGACAGAAGCCTTTTTGGAGTGGAATTTCTCCGCCGAATGAGCCGATATCCGGGTCAACTCAGTAACGAAAGACTGACCCCAGAAAGCGCTAGATGGAATTAGCATTCTCTTTCCGTTTTGATTATTGCAGGTCATACCTGGTATATTTGCTGACATATTTATCCAGCTTCGAGAAATTCAGGGCTCTTTGCTCGTCACTCATGGTGACCGCCTCCTGGTAGGCGGCAGCGAGCTCTTCGGTATTCCAAGGATTGATGATGATACTGCCGTTCAGACTCTGCGCCGCGCCGGCAAATTCGGAGAGCACCAAGACACCGTGCCGCTTTTGCTGCGCCGCAATATATTCGTATGCGACAAGGTTCATTCCATCGCGGGTTGAGGAGACAATGCAGGCATCCGACACAGCGTACAAAGCGATCAACTCGTCAAAGTTGACTGATTTGTGCAAGAAATGGATGGGCATGAACTCCACAGTACCTGTACGGCGTTAGCCTCTAATAACACATTGACCTTAAAAAAGAAAAACCACCTACCAAATTTTCCGTTGATCCTGCCAACCAATTCGTTGACGACGGCCCTCAAGTTCTGGTATTCCTCGACGTCTTGCCGACTGGGGACAGCCACCTGCACCAACACAACTTTCCCAACCCACTCGGGATGGTCCGAGAGGAAGACCTCAAGGGCGTGCAGCTTCTGCGGTACACCCTTGATATAATCGAGGCGGTCTACACCTACCATGAGCTTTACGCCCTGGAATTTCTGCTCCAGCATTGCGATTCGCTTCTGGACCTTTTCCTTTTTGAGGCCCTCCTGGAACTTCTCCGGGTCGATGCCAATGGGGAAGGCCCCGCAGGCAATAATTTTGCCCTGGAACTCAATTCCATTGGGCGTCGTGGCCAGTCCTCTGAGGGAGCACGTTAGTTTCTGGACGTCACAAAGGAACGAGGGAGGGCGCGTACAATAGCCGGGAGCAAGCACTCAGGAAATGTCTCGTATAGTCGTAGGTGTGGAAGCCGATGAGGTCACAATGGAGAACCCCGAGGAGTAGCTCATTTCGGACGGGGAGGATTCGGTAGATTTCGCTACTGGGGAAGGGCGTGTGCAGGAAGAAGCCGATCTTCACATTTTCCTTGGTGTCGCCAATCTCCTCACGAAGCATTTCGGGAAGGAGCATCAGATGGTAGTCATGGACCCAGATCAGATCTCCATCGCGCACCTCCTTCGCAACGGCTTTGGCGAAAAGGCGATTTGCCTCCTTGTATGCTTCCCATGCAGCTTCGTCGAAGGTGATTTCGCCAGGGTGGTAATGGAATAGCGGCCAGAGGATTGAATCTGGATAAGACACGATGGTTAGCATGCCCTTTAGCTGGGACAATTGGGTGAACTCACTCGAGAACCCATTGTAGTGACGATCCGCAAGTTCATCGTCGATGAACACGGGGATCGCATTATATTCGTCCTTCAGGCGGCGTTTGACGATCGGAATTTCCTCTTCGGGAACTTCCAGACCAGGCCAGCCGTACCATTGGAATGTCGTAGACTTGGACAATCCACTGAGACCACTGACTAGGCCTCCGGAAGACATGGAAAAGTCATATTTGCCATCTTCGGACCGCTTGATGGTGATGGGCAAGCGGTTGGAGACGAGAAGCAGTCTCGCATCATTTTTGATGGGACTTTCGAGGGACGGCATTTTTGCAATGGGAAGGAGGAATTCGTCGATCAGGAATAATGGCTATTTTGGATCGAAATCGGAAATGAAGAGGGTTATCGAGAATCCGCTGGGAACCGAATCCCGGGATATGCAGGTGGGAATAAGCAAAGATGATACTGGAGTGGTCCAGATGTCACTCAACCAGCGATGGCGCACTTTTGTCTGCAACACCCAACAAGACAATTCAGCGCGATCGGGATGACCACGAAACACTGGCCTGAGAAGGCGGCGTCAGACCGGCGTGGGGGGAAGTAGGAGAGATGAGAAAATGGCCAGCGACCCAACAAAGGCGGCGGGGAGGCAGTGACCTCAGAGCCCAGCAATCAACCAGACGCGCGGACCAACCGACCCAAGCTTGGGCAACAAAACGGAGGAGGTAGACACGATCCTCACTAGCAAGCTCATCGGCAAGTGGGGAGAAAGACTGCGATATTGCTCAGAAGATCATTCCCTTCCCT